ACCTAATAAAATCAATCACAATAAAATATTTATTAATTGATATAAAAAGAATAGTTATTTTTTATGGATAATTATCACAATATAACCACTCGGCCCAGTTATGATTATGTCATTATCAGGAGGACGCATGTCATCATACTATTAATCTAATAAACCAATAAATAGAGGCATGGATGAATGAGGAAGGTATACAGAAATTGAGAATTTTAGAAATTCAGAATTTAAGAGTAAAATACAGAAACTCTGCCAAAGAGTTTCAGTATTTTTTTATTTATATAAAAAAATATTTATTAACGGATATAAAAAGAGTTTTAATCTATACAATTATTAAATATGTAAAGAGTTTTAATATTTAAGTATTTACTTATTTATCTAAAAAAATATTTTATTAATTGATATGAAAATAGTTTTTATAAATAATAAAAAAAAAACTCTATAAAACTCTAAAATCTAACTAATAAAATTTAAATTAACATGTTCATCTATTTATTATTATAATTTTTTAATAAAAGAAAATGTAATTAAATAATAATTAGTAATATAGTTTTTATATATAAAAAAAACTCTATCAAACTCTAAAATATAACTAATAAAATTTAAATTAACCTATTTATCTATTTATTATTATGAATTTTTTAATAAAAGAAAATTTAATTAGACAAGAATTATTAATATAAAAATATTTATTAATTGATGTATAAAATAAAAAAAAAATTCTAAAGTTCTACCACAAATTAACTTTTATTATGAGTTTCTTAATAAAATTAAAACTAATTAGATAAGGATATATTTTTAAAAAATAAAATAATTTATATAAAACTCTATCACAAATTACCTATTTTATTATCAATAAAACTCTATCACACTGTCACACTAAACAAATATATATTTAAAGAGTTTCTATAAAATTCTAACACAAATTACTTATTTATCTATTTATTATGAGTTTTTTTTTTAATAAAAGAAAATATAATTAGACAAGTATTATTAATACAAAAAATTATTTATGAATTGATTTGGTTTTAAAAGAGTTTCTATAAAACACAAATTACCTATTTATCTATTTATTATAAATTTTTAATAAAATAAAATATATTTATTTATTTATTATGAGTTTTTTAATAAAATATATTTATTGATTAATACAAATATAATTCAATGTTTTATTTAATAAATTGTTGAAAATTTTGAAAACAAAAAACAAAAAAAGAAAAATTACAAATATAGATACTTTAGGATATGATATGTTCTTTTTGTTAAAAATTCGGCACTAAATATGAATGTATATGTATCATTATCATTTTATCAATGAAAAGGGATTAGGAAAATGATGAAATAAATTTTGTCATATTAATATTTTTTATAAAAATAATTTCTATAAAACTCTAAAAATTACCTAATAAAATCAATCACAATATAATATTTATTAATTGATAAAAAAAAATAATAGTTGTTTTGTATGAATAATTATCACAATATAACCAACCCGGGCCAATTGTGATTATGTCATTATGAGGAAGACACATGTCATCATCATATTAATCCAAGAAGCCTATAAATAAAGGTATTGAGGAAGGACGAAATGATAAAATTCTAGAAATCCAGAGTTTCAGTGGAAAATACAGAAACTCTGTCAATTCCAAGAGTTTTAGTATTTAAGTATTTATTTATTTATATATATATTTTTATTATTATTAATTGATATTAAAAATGTTTTATATATAAAAAAAACTATATAAAACTCTAAAATCAAACTAATAAAATTTAAATTAATCTATTAATCTATTTATTATTATGAATTTTTTAACAAAAGAAAATCTCTAACTTCTTCTTGATTCAAGTTTTATTATGAGTTTATCATTAAAAGGAAATCTAATTAGACAAGGATAAATGTAAAGAAAATAAAATAATTCCTATAAAATTTTATCACATAATTACCTATTATATTTTCTATAAACTCTATGACATTAGACTAGGATATATTTAAAGAAAATAAATTATAACCTAGGGTCTTCGAAAAAACCACAAACTCTATATAATAAATTTTTATATCAATTTCAATCTAATGTATGATTAGTATAATTGAATTTCTTTTGTAAATTTAAAATTATACTAAATTTCGAATTACCTAATACAATTCAAATTACAAATTACCTTATAAAATTCAAATATATATATATATATATATAAAATATTTTTAAGTATTACCTAATAAAATTCAAATTACAAATTACGTAATAAAATTTAAATTACGTAAAAGAATTTATTACTTTGCAAAAGTCAAATCTTTTAGTATTAAAATAAAAAAAAATATTAATTAATAAAAAAATATATAAATATTTTAGTATTAATATAAAAACCTAAAGGAATTTATTACTTTACAAAACTCAAACTCTACCACCAATTTCAAAATATTTCAGTATTTATTTATTAATATAAAAATATTTATTAATTAATATAAAAAGATTTGCAAAAAATTGTAATTTTTTGTAAGGTTTATTTTTACAAGCTTCAAATCAACAATTAGCAAAAAAAAAAAAAAAAAAATGAAAACAAAAATTCTATAAGTTACGAAACATTCACCACGTAACTAATTTAAATAATAGTTATTTATGTTATATGTATTATTATTAACATTTATTTATAATTTATTATAATTAATAAACAAAATTAGATTTAAGAGTTATATTGCATAGTTTGCATGGGTAAGTTTTGTACTAAATACTTAATTAGGCAAAAAAAAAAAAATTAAAAAAAGGTATTAAATTACTTATTGGAAAAAAAAGGTTTGTATTAAATCATGATATATATCTCAATATTTAAAAAATAAATAAATAAATAAAAGGGTTAAGTGCAAAAAAATCCCTCGCTATATAAAAATTGTGCAAGAAACAGCTCCACTAAAAATTAAGTGCATATAAATCCCTATATTATCAACCTTTTGAGCAAATTATTCCCTAAACATCAATTTTGACCATTTTTTTTTTTATTTATATAAAAATCCTAAAATGCCCTTGTTGATGTAAGGAAAAAAAAAAAAAAAAAAACAAAAACAAAAACAAAAAAGGAAAGAAAGCCTCTATTTTCCTTTCCCTCTCTAAACCGTCCGCAGCTCTCTTTCTCTCTCTACAACATAGAAGATCACCATACTTTTTCATCCCGTCTATTCCGGCTTCAACAAGAACCAATTAACTCTCGTTGAAAAATACTACTTTGATAAATAAATAAAATCTATGTATTATCGCCGTAAAATTACTCCTTTGATAAAAAATATATATATGTATTTAGGTAATTTCTAAAACAAATTGCTTAAAAAATAAATAATATTTAAAGATTATATATATATATATATAAATATATATATATATATATATATATATATATATATATATATATAACACAAAACTAACGCCACGAAATATTTAATTAGTGAAGATATGAAGAAAACAAACAATGATGGTGTTTATTTTGTGAAGGTTGAAATATAAAGATTATTGATATTCCCTTAAAGATAAGTATTTTCAATATGCACTGGTTCTATATACATACTTTTAGAATAAGATAAATGTTGTGTTGGTTTTATATGACCATGCACAAACTCAATTTTCCCCTATTGGTTGTTCATCAGTGCCTATGATTAGATGTTATCTTGATTGAGCCACAGTATCATTTTGATACGTCATAGGCTCATAGTTACATTCCAAAAATCAAAAAAATTAAATTATACAAACATTGTTATATAGACAATGCCTACTCCAATATGTTAGACACAGAAAGAGAGAGATAATGCTTCTAAAACCAGAGAGTTACAATGGGTGGATTGTATACATATTTTGCATCTCATAGATGTGTGTGTTATGTGACAAGATCAATAAACATATGGAAGTTGTCGAAAAAGAGAATATAGAGAGACAAACAAATATGAAAGTCGCTAGAAAGAGAGTCACACCGAAAAATGAAAACAAAGAGAGAAATAGAGGAGAGAGAGACCTTTTGAAAAAAGAAAAAATAAATTAGCAGAGAGAGGGGATATTTTGATTTTTTATTATTATATTTTATATATTTTTTATTTTATTATATGGGGTATTTTATACATTTCAATGGCTAAATTGACCTAATGTCCTTGTTTACACAAATTATAAAATGTAGGGGGGTTTTATGAACAACAGGGGGTTAATTGTACATTTTGTATATAATAGGTATTTTTTTTTTTTTTTTTTTTTTTTTTTTTTTTTTGCACTTAAGGAAAAATAAAATTTGAACTTTTATTAATAATTATAATATTATTGTTGAAAAAGTTATATTTTATTGTTCAAAAGTTATTAAAGATGTGGTTTAAGTATTTGAGAAAAATCGGATACGTGTTAAAAATAAAAAATAAAATTTAAAATTATGGATATGTATAAAAAGTATCATACCATATCTGATAAGGTTAAATCACTATTATAAAAAAGTTCCGACTCGATGTAAAAACTTATGTAACATATGTACTTAAATCAAGAATATAAAACTTTCACTAGAGTAAGTATTAATGTTATTAATTCATGATTGACAATCGCAGTGTCTCTTGCGATCGTGATGTAACATGCAACTAACTGAACCGAGTATTGGATCCTTATGAACCAGTCAAAGTATTATTTGCGATTGCTGTGTAACATATTTGAACAAATATTAATAGAAATTGACTGAACTAAATATCGGATCCTTAGGAACCATTTGATACATCGCTATAATAAATCAACTTATTATTATATGATGTTGTATTCTCAATTTAATTGCAGCTAATAACACTAATTAAAGTAAGCCATAACTTATTCCACTAATTTTCATGTGAAAACATCCATGTGTTGAGTGTCCTAAATTTTCTTTACCAAAAACCCCTCGACTATATTTAACCCACCACCAAGCCAACACCCTAGTTAATAAACCATGGTTAGTTTATGATGCCAGCTATAAATAAGTTCCTTGCCTTCATAAAAACCCTAACATTCTCATCCAAAGCTCTTTTATTAGATTTCTTCCCATCTTTTATTGCCCACAAGATGCCTTAAAAAAAGGCCATAGGAAAAGGGCAAGAGGGAGAGTAGAGTCAAAGACAACAAGGCAAGTCACCACAGGGTCACCCAATACCCACACCCCCCAAATACTGGTACGTCTCTCTTCCTTTACTACTGTCCAGTCACAAATTCTTGATTTTTTTGTAGGGGAGGGTCTGTATCTGTTCAAAAATTGAAAAACCCCTCTCCTCCCTCCATCTCTCTTTCTCTCTGTCCTATCTGTTTTTTTTTAGAGAGAGAAAGTACTGGTATTAAATGGCGGGGGACTAAAAATTTTCATCCATGCCCTAGATCAATGGGTTCCCGCCAAAAAATCGATCTCCCCATCGATACCCAGATGACTAGTCAGTTCATCTCTCTCTAATTATTTCTTTTGGATGTTCCGTTGATTCTTGTTTTGTGAAGGTATATATGAGTGTAATGATTTGGTTTTAGGGTTTGAATTCAAAATCCATGGCAGGGTGGTCGAAGATAGCAGATGGGTGTGCCTTAGATTGCTTAAAACCTCTCCAAAAACTTCTATCAGACGAGCTGTGGTTTGACCTCGGTCTGGGTTCACAAGGGTCGATTGCAGGTGGCGACGAAGATAAGCTTCGATCCTTGTTCGATCAATTCGTATCTATATTTCTTAAGGAGATACATTGTAGTGATTGTTTTCGGCCTTTACCTCCAATGCTTGGGGATGGGCAATCAGTGGATTTATTCAAACTGTTCTTGGCTGTGAGAGAAAATGGTGGATACGAAACTGTTTCGAAGAATGGATTGTGGGATTCGGTGGCTGAGAAGTCAGGTTTCAGCACCGGTGTTGCTTCGGCTGTGAAATTGATCTACATCAAGTATTTAGATTCACTGGATAGATGGTTAAAAAGAATTGTTGAAAGTAAGGACTCAAAAAGTGAGTTGCCAGGTAGTGGCGTGGATCTGAGTGGGTTTTTGATGGGGTTAGAGTCAGAGTTTTCGGGTCAGAAGAAGAAAGATGGAGAGTACCCACATTTGGATTTGGAGAAGAGTGAGTTGAAAGATGGAGTGTACCCACATTTGGATTTGGAGAAGAGTGAGTTGAAAGATGGAGAGTACCCACATTTGGATTTCACGGATGTTGAGAAACCTTGCAGTGCTGATGGGTTTGGGAGTTTTGTAGAGTCGAATGGAGGCAAGGAAAGCATCAAGGAGAACAAGGATGATATGATTTTGGATTCACGTGTAGTTGAAGAAGAGATTTCTAATAAGAAGAGGAAGCGGGATTGCGATTGGGGAATGCTAAATTGGGTTATTGAGGTTGCGAAAAACCCTTGTGATCCACAATTTGGATCCTTGCCTGAAAGGTCTAAGTGGAGGTCTTATGGGAGCAAGCAGTTGTGGAAACAGGTTTTGTTGGCTCGGGAGGCAATGTTTTTGAAGAGACACGTTGTTCAATGTACTGAACATAAGGTATATGTCACAAACCCACATTCGGATTTGGAGAAGAGTGAGTTGGATCAGAAGAAAAAAGATGGAGAGTACCCACATTTAGATTTGGAGAAGAGTGAGTCGGATTTTACGGATGTTGGGAAACCTTGCATTGCTGACGAGTTTCAGAGTTCCGTAGAGTTGAATGAAGGCAAGGAAATCATCAAGGAGAACAAAGATAACATTATTTTGGATTCATGTGTGATTGAGGAAGAGATTCCTAATAGGAAGAGGAAGCGAGATTGCGATTGGGGAATGCTAGATTGGGTTATCAAGGTAGCAAAAAACCCTTGTGGTTCACAATTTGAATCCTTGCCTGACAGGTCTAAGTGGAGGTCTTATGGGAACGAGCAGTTGTGGAAACAGGTTTTGTTGGCTAGGGAGGCAATGTTTTTGAAGAGACAAGCTGATCAAAGTACTGAACATTGGCAGGTATTTGCTACAAAATTCTCATCATCATCATACTTGTCTTGATCCCATATGAATGGGGCTGGCCTCATGAATTATCTCTCTCCACTATTTTCCATTATATGCCATATCTACTACCATATTTAACTTTTTGAAGTTATTTTTAATGATCTCATCTCATATTATATTTGATCGGCCTCTGTCTCTTAACTTTTATGACAACTAGTCTTATACTCGCGTCTCACTAGGTCCCCAATGTATATGTCCAAACCATCTAAGTCTACTCTCCATAATTTTCTTACCAATGGGTGCGAGTGTGCGACCCCTAATTTTTCTCACTTTCATTAGTGACCCCATCTCTTCTAGTCACTCCACTCATCCCTCTTAACATTCTCATTTCCGAGGCGACTCATCCATCTGAACATTCTCATTTTCGCTGCATGAAGGCGTTGTTTTTGTTTCTTTCTTAGGGCCCCGCTCCACTCCATACAACATAGTTGGCCTAATAATGGTGCTATAGAATTTTCCTTTTAGCCTACATGTTATTCTTTTTATCACATAAAATCCCCCTAGTTTGTCTCCATTTAGACCAATCCACTCCTATTCTATTAGTCATATCACTATTTATTTGTCCATCCTTTTGTATTATCGATCTTAGATAGCGAAAGTGGATGTTTTGGGTAATCTTTTGGTTTTGAAGTGTTATCACTATATTTTCAATGTCGGAGTCTTTATTAAATTTACACATGTTACAAAATTCTCCGTCCTACAAATACTAAATGGGGAAGTTAATTGAATCATGGTTTGATCTTTGTTAAGATGTTGCTGCTGTTTGCAGCCAAAATGCTTTGTTGTGCATTTGAGGCATGATCTTTCATCTTTCAAATTGTTTTTGACTATTCAAAATGATAAATAGTCTTTCATCCAGTATATCATGCTACATTTACAATGTACCTTGAATTCCAATACTCATTTGATAAGTAAAGTCACTTTACTCAACTTTTTGGCCCTTTTAAAGGTGAAATGTTTTAAAGTGATACCTAAATTGTGTTATCAAACAAGATATGTGCAGTTTTAAATTCTTAATTTAGTTTTCAAGCAGCACCTTAACGTTGACCCCCCGATATGATTTACAGTTTTGGAAATTCACTTCTCTTCTAGAGTTGTTTTTATTATAGTCAAAGCTTCATTTACAATTTTTTTTTATTATGCCAATATATTCATATGTTTTTTATTTTTATTTTTTTTATTTAAAATAAAAATAAAAAAACCATCATATTATATCTTCGGGACTCTATCATAGGTTTTTTCAAGATATATAATGACCATTTTGTGATATTTCTTCTTTCGGCATTTTTGTTTATCCTTGGCATAGAAACAAATTGATTTTTAGAAACTAGACGTTCAATTACTTTTGTCCAAAATTTTATAGCATGATTCATTAGTTTGATACTACAATAATTTGTAATTTTGTACAATATTGAATATCCCTTTTATGTTATACATATGCACTATTTTTATTTTTTATATTTTCATCTTATTAGGTATTTTTTTAGTAATTATTATCTTGCCATACAATTTTTGTTAACCAAGACACATCATCATCCCATAAACACACTTAAATCTCAATAAGAATGCAATTTTAACATGCAGCGATACACCAAGGGCCTTGTGGCCTGGTGTTATTATCTCCTCTACCTTCGAAAGTGGATGGTGAGGGTTTGAGTCCCCAAATGGGCAAAGTGGGTGTGTGAGATGTGTGTGTTTCTTGCCAATGAAAAAAAAAAATTGCAGTGATTCTTGTTTTCATATGCTTCAATGAATATTTTACCTTGCACACCCTGAACTTACAAAAATAAATTGCTTTCTCTTATCTATTTACCTAAGATTACCATTTTCTCTTAACCATAAGTAGAATTTTCATTCAAGAACTTCTCAAAGCAACTTTATAATCATTTTCAAATTTTACAGTCTTTCACCAAGAGCACTGTCTCTGTGCATTTTATATTGTTGAAATATCTAGTTTTCCACCTCCCTTAATTTAGCAAGTTCACATATATTCTTCCTCCATCTTTTGTACATAATTTAATTTAAATGAAAGATCTTCTATGCACTAACATCTCTTACTACTTTTTATTTATTTTATTTTTTTATACATATTTGTATTTCTCAAAAAATTCTTCATGTTTAGTTTTTGGCCAAATTCTATATCACTTCTTTTTTCTCTTTGCTGCAATTTTGATGTCTCATCCCACCACCAAGTTTCTAAAATAATAATACATTTCAAAAAAAAAAAAAAATGTTTCTAAAATAATGGTTCTTTTTATTTCAATTCTTTTAGAATCTGTTTTGATATTATTTTATTACACTCCGCTATCCTATTTCATGTTACTTTAGTTATATCTTCTACATTTTGTGATGGTTTTTAACATGTTGCTCTTAAATACTTCTACTTTTTCTCCTTTTAAATTCCACCACCTAATTTTTGTATTTCTAACCTCCTTTATCTAGTAATGTGTTTTTGTTTTAATTAATTTTGAAGACACAATATCAAACACATTAGCGATGTGTTCATTGATTTGGAGAACACTAAAAAAAAACATGTAATCTTGTATGTACCATTGAAGAGCTCAATGCATAGTTATTAGAAGCTCTAGGTGTAAGGCGCTAAGGTCTCTTGGAGCCTAAGCGCAAGGTGTGACTTGACGCGCAAGTTTGATTATAGTAAGGCACATATGTGATAGAAATGAATATTAAAAATAAGTATCAAATAAATTGCGCGTAAATCCTTTTGATCGGCATATGCTTGGGCTACTTTGAACCAATCAAGCATATGCATATGAACAAAGAGGCTATTGGTGGGACAACGAAAGTGCACAAACATGAAGATCCAACAAGAATAAATAAAGCAATCAAACACAAATACAAGATGTAAACCGGCTACGTCCTTGAATGAGAAGACATTCTACTATGATTCTGTAGAGATATTACAACGGTGGGAGAATACCCACACCCGATCATATGCGCAAACCCGTGTACTCCACGAGACTTCCTCTCGCCATCAATGTTCTCTCCACCCATAACTACCTCTACCTATCAGCTCCCTCATGAGTCTACCACTCTCCATTATAGAATTAGGCCTACATCTCTCTCAATCTCATAAGCCTCAACCCATTACCTAGGTATCTATTTATAGAGTTCAAACCCCAATTCCTTGCTGGACAAGGATTACAATTTCTTAGAGCCCAAGACGTGCCTAACAATAAATTGCCTAATAAAATACAACTTTAGAATATAAACCTAATTATAATAGGAATTTGAGGCACAATCCCTACCGGACATATGCTTTGGGGTTCATTAATTGATGCATTACCCCACAGCTTGGCAATTGGCAGGTTTCTCATTTCGTTTGCATAAATAGGTTGTTTATGATGTTGCTATAGTTGTGGATTTTTTGTGGCTATATAAAGTGAAAAAAATTTAGAGCAAAACGTTTATCATTAGCAGAAACTTATAAAATTAAAGTAATTTGCAAATGTGTATTATTAAGGTTAAAAAACCCTAAGGTGGTAGGCTATTTTAATATATATATATATATATATATATATATTTTGGGTAAATAATTAAATAGATATATGCTTAATTGTGAACTAAATGTGCAGGCTTAAAAAGGATTTAGTTAGACATGCATTACGAGTCAGATCAATTCAACAGAATCCTCAATTTAAATTACTTTTTTGTAGGCTTACTCATTCTTGCAAAAATGTAGCTCTATTGAGGTTATATCTCTGTTACGTTATGTGCCATCATGTTTCCTTTGGCTTCTTCCTATCAATGCCTTCCACTTGAATTAAACTATGCAGTGGTTAAATTCATTGGTCTTTATTGTACAGGATAAACTGTCAATCCTCGTCTTTTCTTGTATTATAAAAAGAGTAATGCTATAAAAACTGATCGGTTTTTGTAGTTACTACAATAAATGGAGTCCAGCAAGGACTCTTGTCAGCTTTTAAAAACAGCAAAACTCTTTTCTAGGTGTTTATCCCAATCACTAATTCCCACATCAGGTCGGTTATGTAGTCGGTAAAAAAGAGTCGAAAATTATTTCATTTCCCTTCATCTCAGATTAGTGTAAAAAATATATGGTAGATTCCATATTCATCTCAACATTTAGGTAAATCATTTTTTCTGAACATGTGCCGCCTTTAATTTATCATCCATATTCCTTAAAGTATTGCAGATTAGTGTAATTAATTAATCTTATCTTTCTTGGGATCTAATTATTATTTTTTAAATATGTAATCTTTTCACTTTTAAAGCTTTTTTTTTTTCCTAAGAAAATCTATATTATTCTGTTTGGGGGGCCATTGTTTGGTGTAATATGAAAGGCTCAACTTACCATGTATGAATATCGATAACAACCGCTTGACGCAAAAAATTTCCATACGTTAGGTCTTGTGTCAGCACACCCCTTTAGTACTTCAAATTGGCGGGACTAACAATGGATAATGTGAACTTGCCAATGGTCCTCCTAATTTTCCCGTCTTCCTGTGTGTGAAAGCTTGTATTCTTTTCCCAAGTTTTTCAATTTCCTTACTTTCCTGCGCAATTTCCTAATTTTCTATATACGTCTACATTGTTGTAAACTCTCCAGATGAGTTTATACAATAAATGATAGGTATGACCACTATCTCTGTCAGTTAATACAAAACTTGAAGATAGAAAATATAAATGACTCAAGTTTCAGAAACTGGCTTGGCAACATGTAGGGAAAATTTAGGAAGACCGGAAATACTTCCCAGAGTTTTATGTATTGAGCAGAAGTGTCCTCTTAGTCTTTAGCTAGAAGTTTGGCCTCTCGGTACTGTTTTCATTATTATTATGCATTAATAATATTTCTCTTTATCTTGTCTGAACTCTGTTATGTCAATTTGAAAAATTACTTGTAGAGAAATATGAACATTTCCGCTCCAAGTATTGTATAATTTAATTGTTTCGGCACTTTTGTAGAAGAACCAAAAGATGCATCCATCCATGTATGACGATTATACTGGATCCGAGAGATCAAGGTGCAGTCAGAGGCTTCTTTCTGTTAAGGAGTATCAAGCTCTCCTTTCTTTGAAGAAGCCTCGGGCCAGAGCTTGTTCAGAGTCTTCCTCGGGCACTTTGAGTGACTTGGAGGACAATCTTGAGAAACAGTCCGATCCCATAGTCAGTTTGTACATCGACAATCATAAAAGAAAGCGTATTCCTGTTGGTCCATTTTTTCAAGCTAAAGTACCAGAATGGACGGGGGAGACTTATGAAAGTGACTCTAAGTGGTTAGGTACCCAGGTGTGGCCAGTGAAAGGTGGAGAGAACAAAAAATATCTAATTGAAAGGGATCGCATTGGGAAAGGAAGGCAAGATTCATGTGGCTGCCAATTACGAGGTTCTATTGAATGTGTCAGATTCCATGTTGTTGAGAAAAGGATGAGAGTGAAGCTTGAACTGGACTCGGCCTTCCATAGTTGGAAATTTAATAAGATGGGAGAGGAAGTTGCACTCTCCTGGACAAAGGAAGAAGAACTGAAATTCCAGGCTATAGTTAGGTCAAATCCTCCATCTATGGAAAAGTGTTTCTGGGATGAAATTTTTAAGTCTTTTCGTGGCAAAAGCAGGGAAGATTTGGTTAGCTACTACTTCAATGTCTTTCTTCTCCAGCGTAGAGCTCAGCAGAATAGGTCCACTCCGAGCCACATCGACAGCGATGATGATGAATCAGAGCTTGGATCAATGACTAATGGTTTTGGGCGTGAAGCAGCTAAGTCGCCAGGCTCCATTTTGCGCACTCCTAAGAAGCCACATTTGAATTTCAGATAGCAGTCGAAGGTTGGTTAGAATTAAGGATTTTTGCTTAGAAATGTGAAGTGCTGCGGTTCTATCTGGTGGTATTTCAGTTCATCAATTAACAGCGGAGATAGTGCAACAACCTTAAGGTTTTGATACCATCACGAGTGACTGTGGAAGCATTTGATCATAGAGGCCTTGGCAAACTCCGATCTGGTCTAGTGTATTTGGTTCGTGTTTTTCCGGTTTTGAAGCTATAATTTCATTAATGCCCATTCATCATGATTACCAACATGCAAGGGCTGCTATTTCATTTTATACTGTTATTTTTCTTTTTTCACTGGGTTACATGATGAACGAGGAGGCTGGCCCCCTTCCAGTAGCCTTGGGATTATTATATAGAGAAAAGCCGAAAGGTTTAACGGAGGGAAGGGGAATAGAAAGAGAGGTATTGTGACATTTGAAGTGTTGCAACTCTTCCTTCTGAAAAAAAAGGGTGTATTCACTTGCAATTATGAGGATCTTTAAACATGGTTTGAGAGAATTTCTTTTGCCTGAAGCATTTTCATATTGGTCTCTTTTCAACTGCTAAAATTTCGTGTCCATGTCATGGCTTTAAATGGCTCTATTGGTTTATGTAATTGTTGTCTCTTATAAATATATAACCAACCATATTGGAATATCAGGTAAGGGTATAACAGAAATGTTACACTAGCAAATAATGCAACGAACATTCATGACATACTTGTTAAAACACAAGTTTGTCACATTTTTTGTATTGTTTTATATTTCAATTTTTTAGATAATGTTATGTCGATCATAAAGATTTGAACTTTTAGTGTCTGACATTCAGTTGTGTGAAGTAAAATTATGTACAAAGTGTCATTTATTTTTCAGAATATTAGTCTTAACTGTAAGTCATGAATCATGGAAAAGAAAAGAAAAGGGAAATCTAAATGATTTTGGGCTTGCTTGGTTCACTTCTTTTAAATTGAAAAATAGAAAATAATAGGAAAATCTGTTTGATAGGATTATGATGAAAATGCAAGTTCTTGATGATTTTAATTATAATTCCTGTATATTCATAAAATATTTTAATTATAATCTACTTAGGTTTTCAATTTTGGAAAGCAAATTTACCAGGCATTGCTTTCCCCATTTTTTTTTTTTCACTTTGCAAGGAGTTTGGTAAGATGTGCAAGCAAAGCCAAAGGTCTTATCTTCAATGCTTCTTGTATAATTAACTCTCTACGTGGGGGGCTTAACCTTTGAACCACGTCAATATTACAAAAAGATCATGTCATCTAATTATATAACTTATCCCACTTTTGAATCCCTAAAAAAAATAGAAGGTCGAGCCTACTAAGATAAAGTAATCTAAAATACGATTTAAAATTTTTAAATTTAAAAGAGGATTGTGTATTCCATTTCTGTGAGATAAAGGTAAGACAATGACGAAAATTCAATCAGAAGAAGTTTAAAGCGTTCTTATTATATAAGAGTTACTTCTAGCCTTCTATACCCCCAATTTGTATATTTTAACATATATGTATTGGGACTTTTTCTTATCAGCACTACATTATTTTTCTCCCCCCATGAATTTTCAATAAAGGGGTTATTAATTAATAAGAGAGAAAAAATCTATATCTATTAAATTTGCTATTATTGGAATGGTTTCAAATCATCCATACTAATCACATTAAGAATGTCTTTGTTAAAGTGAAAGATTCCAGAATCGATGCATATGATTGTGATGTTATTAAATATCATAATGGTTACTGACATTGTTATCTTATTACGGAATATTTTTTTCATTAGGTGTTCTTTTTGTATTATCTTATTGCTAACATGTTTCATGACGGCCACGAAATCCCAACACAGTGTCCCAAGTAAAACATTTAATAATTTATTCAATTTTAGAGTTAATTGCACAAAACCTTCTCAAATTATAAAAAGAATTGCATTTTACAAAGCATTAAATTATTTTTAAAGTTAATTGCACAAAGCTCCCCGATCATAAAGAACTTGCACATGACCTTCTATTTATAGGATGTCATGTAGATTTTTTATATTTTCATAGGTATTACATACTTGATCTTTCTTTCAAACCAATCTGACAATTTATATTATCTCTTAGTGCAGTGGATAACTTTACGTTTGGGAAACCTTTGAACTTTACAAATCGGTTTAACAGATCGACTTAAAAATCATTTTCCGATCAACCCAATAGAACCCCATTATTAGTTTGGAGGAAATTTTAGGATCCTAAAAAATTCTATCTTGAAAGCTATTGGCAATGGTCGTGGCTTAGGCTTGGATCACGTGACCTAACTTAGTACAATCACCTATTTACTAATACAAGGAAAGAATTCTGAAAAAAAATAGAGTATGAGCTGTATAATGATTTATTAGTCTCATTTCATGAAAATATATTCTAAAAATTTCTCATTCAAATAATAGTAGGTAGATAATTACTATTTATTCAATCTTTTCAACTAACTCTAATGAAAGTTTATTAATTATTTTTATTTGAGTGTAGCTAAATTAAATGTGAGATCGACACAAATTCGTGTCATGTATCAAGTCCATGATCTAAATTACTGCAACTTGTAAATTTGACTAGGATAGTCGTGTGGTTTGATACATGCTGTCCTTGACAGGTAAAGGTTGCTCTTCTTCTTGTGGTTGGAAATGGACTAGAATTTTTCATGTGGAATTTGTTTTTGTGCAACTTGACTTTTCAATACATTAAAGAAAGCGAAGATCACCCGATTTTATGAGTGTATTTTTTCTCATTAATCAATCAAATATAATACTAAGTTCACATTAAGTTTTTATTTTTTATTTTTTATTTACTCGAGAAAGCTAAAATAATTACATACTTACAACATACTATTCAAAAGGGTTTAACTCTCAATCTTCTTTTTAAAAAATAAAAATATGCCGATCGGAGTAGTGGTGGAATGCTATTTTTTCATCTATTATATATATCAAAAGCAGAAGATGGGGGCTCCTATTCCTTGCACTTTAAAATTTGCCCTTTGCAAGGTTAAGTTCCCTGTTAGGCTATACGTAGTTGCAACGTGACTAGAAATATTCCATTGTCCCATCATCATGGTAGAAGCCCTCTCCAACTTTCATTTTTTACCAATTACTTCTAGTCTTCTATACTAAAAATTTTGCAGGGAACACCTCAAACTTTCATAAAAACTCACAAATACCTCCTACTACAGTACTACTAAGGGTTAGTTAAAATCTAACAAAAACTATTACCGAGTCTGTAACTCGAATGGTATTATCTCTCGTATCAAAGAGAACATTGAAAGTTTAAACTCTTTAAGAATATGTTGCGGATAAAAAACTTGGTGTTTGCTTTAACTTCATATATACACACACATACATAACAAAAATGTAGATTGTAGGTTTATTGTATTTTAAGTTTAACATTTCTTAGGATTATTTTTGTTTTGGAAACGAACACCTTCCAACGGCCAGATTATGGAACACTGAAATTCAATATTTTTTGCTTAGTGAGAATTGAATGAAAATATCTCATTTATGGCTTGAACTAAGAGACTCTTTGTCCACTGGGCCACCGATTTTGTCTATGCATATAGCATGGGGAGAGGAGGTGTCCGATGGGTTATGAGAGAAAAAATTGAAAATGGAAGTCAGATTATTATAATTATCAATATTTTATGGGCTTAACAAAAAAATTTCACCTATTGTATGAGTTGGATGATGTATCCTAGTTTCGCTCATTGATGTCTGAACCAATTTGCTTCTCTTAGTTGTGCAAGTAACTCATTTGTTTTCTCTACACTACCCTGTATCTTCTCTGTCGCCTCTTCGCAGAAAGGGCAAAAACCTCGGGGAAAAAAAAAACAAAAAAATCATGTCTTCCCCAAGCAAACGCCGAGAGATGGACTTGATGAAACTGTTAATCCTCTAATTATTCTCTGAATTGTCTTCAATTTTGGTTTGTGAAGATTAATTTTTTATTTGTTGTTTGGTTTTGCTTTGTTTTGTGAACTAGGATGATGAGTGATTACAAGGTAGAGATGATCAACGATGGCATGCAGGAGTTCTATGTACATTTCCATGGACCCAGTGATAGTAAATCTCTCATACCCATATCTCAATCTCTTAATCTTTTCATTTTTTGAGCTTTTAAAGCCTTTTGCTTTATTGGGTCTTTGCTATTTTTTGTAAATTCCTTTCTTGATTTAGCTATATTCATCATCTGCATATGCGATGAGCTCTTGATTGCATCTTTTGATGCTATAATTGCTTCTTTCTTTCTTTCTTTCTTTTTTACTATAATTGTCAATCGTAGCTAATAATTTCGTTTGCCTTTTGGGGTTAAGTGCTAAATTGATCTGGGTGTTTGATATAAGTATGGTTTTTTGATTCAATAAGAAGGCAATTGGCATATTTCTTCATACTTTTATACCTCTTTTATTTTTTGTTATGTTATTTATTTTTATTTTTGTTAGTAATAGCAGGTTTTAGGCTTGTTTATATATTGTGTGTGGCTTTCTAGTCCAATTCTAGAACTTGTGAAGACTTTTTTTTTAATTACTGTTTTTTTTTTTTTTTGTTGCTAAAAGCTGCAGATTTGTTGCTTGCTTATAGTCCTCAATGAATTTTTTAAATATAGTACTAGCATGGATTCAGTCTTTTAACTTTTTGAGCAAGATTTTTAATTGTTTCTTTTCTCCTAAATTAATCTTTGCAGGTCCTTATTATGGAGGTGTGTGGAGGATACGGGTTGAGCTTCCAGATGCTTATCCGTATAAATCTCCGTCCATAGGCTTTGTTAACAAGATTTACCACCCAAATGTTGATGAGATGTAAGGAACTAAATGTTGTACTTCAGTGAATTTCTATAGATGGTAGTTCACCAGATTTATCTTTTTAAAGTGCAGTGTTTCCAAGTCTGACAGTTTTGGTGGATTATTTAATTTCAGGTCAGGCTCAGTTTGTTTAGATGTTATCAATCAGACCTGGAGTCCTATGTTTGGTAAAGAAATTTATATGGCTGTCGTACATAAACAAGATTCCTTGTCTTTCTAATGATAAAAGACAAAGCTACCTCTTTGATTATATGGTTAGTATTATACTATTATTAGCCTCCGATGTTGACATCCTTGTTTTCCAGATCTGGTGAATGTATTTGAAGTGTTTCTTCCTCAGCTTCTTCTGTATCCCAACCCGTCAGACCCGTTGAATGGGGAGGCCGCAGCTCTGATGATGCGTGATCGACCATCTTATGAACAAAGAGTTAAAGGTACTGAATCATCAATAGTTAAATATTCTCTACTTGACATGCTTTGCAATGCCAATGTGGCTAGGATGAAAATTATGAATATTTAAAGGTTTTCTCAGTATCTACCACTTGTTGTTTCTCTTCTTTTTGCCATCCGTTCTCTCAATTATTTCTTAGAAGGTTTTGACTTTATTGATTTCTAGTAACAAATATGCTTTACATTCATTGATTTCCATTATTATGTACTATGTTTCTCAAGGGGGTGGAGTTTGTTCTGCTTGTAGAGTACGAATGGGTGTTCTTGCCTTATTCCTGACGCTTTGGCTACTTTAATGCTTATGGGAAGTCCGGTTTCTTACAGATTGAGATTAAAAGTGGTTCAGCACTTTCGAACTTGTTGAGTCTGTTTGTAGCCTCTGCCAATTTGAGCCAGCATTGTACTGTCTAAAGTTGTCTGTAATAGAAAGTTGTCAAAACCCCATTAGCTAAGCAAGATTACTATGCTAGACATGCCAATTGCACTTATTTGCCTACCTGTTCACATGACAAATCCAATTCCCTATTGGTAGGGTTTGGCTCCTGCACATAGTTACCACAAGGCCTATACTGACACTAGTACACTACAACAGAAAGTAAGAAAGAGAGTACGTTGAGATTACAAATTTACTTGGTAAAACAATAAATAAAAAATGGCTATGGTTGCGAAGTAAAAAAGACTGATATCCTAGCAATTCACTGCTAGGTACGTCTCAATATGTGGAACACTTCTGTTCCAGAACATTGTGTTTGGTGATCCATAAAGTATCTCCTTAAATGTCAGGCTTCTCTCCAGTCTTCTCCTCCCAGCATCCACCGTATACGAGACCAACACTGACTAATGGCTTTTTAATAACCTTCCTTCCTTCCTTTAGTTTTCCTTTTAAGAGAATAAATAACAGGGGAAAAAAAAAAAAAAAAAAAAAAAATATGATAACAGGACAGGATCAACATAAATAGGTTGTGTTTAGTTCACTACTTTTGCACATATTATTTCATGGCAGTGTTTTTCCATGAAAGTATGGATAACTTGTGTGCTTCGATAATTCTAATTATTCAGCGCCACCCTTATGACTAAACATAAATTATGTGGATTCAAGTATGTGTATCATTGATTTGTGACTAAGGGTCATATTTTTCTAATTCCCAATCCAAGAACAAGGGGGCAGGGCTAAATATATAACATTAAGTGTTCAACAAGGGTACATCACTCATTTTGAATCAATAATGTAACAAAAGGAAAATTAAAAGGCTTATGTACATAAACTTTAGCATAAATAGGTTGTGTTTAGTTCACTACTTTAGCATGTTTCATTTCATTGTAATAGATTTCCATGGCAATATGAATAATTTATGTGCTTCGGTAATACTAATTATTCAGCACCACTCTTACGATTAAACATATTCTCCGTCCGTCCCATATTAGTTGTTCATCTTTGAACTTATAACATTTTAAGGGAACATGCAATTACTGCATTGTCTCCTTTTCAAATTACTAAGTTGTCCTTTTAACTTTAAAAGTATTCATCACCAAGTTGGAAGATTTTTGAAAAGTTAGAAGGGTAATTATGGAAAGATTGCATTTATTTTTTATTTTTTACTTTTCAAAATTGACAACTAATTTGGGACACCCTAAAAAGGAAAAATGGTCTTCTAATATGGGACAGAGGGAGTATTACATGGATTTTTTATTTTTTATTTTTTTCAGGTAAGTTAGCATAACATTAGCTCAAGAAACAACTACATGCAAAGATACAAGGGACACCAACACCAAATCAAAGATACACTAAAAACACTTACGAAACAAAGAGGAAGACTAAACCTGGGTGAGATAAACACATCAATCAACAAAGACACCAAAAAAGCACGGGAAAATTGTGGTGATTCAAATTTGTGTGTTGTGGTGATTTGTGCCTAAGGGTCACATTTATCAAATTTCCAACCCAAGAACATGTGTTCAACGTTGGTACTTCGCTCATTTTGAAGCAATAATATAACAAAAGGAATATTAAAAGCCCTCCTAATAAGGCAAAAAAAGAAAAGAAAAAAAGAAAGAACCCCTCAAATTATTATAATTATGTAATTAAGGTTATGATGTCAAAGTGCTGTTATGAATAACATTAAATTACTAATTTTCCCCTTCTTTTGTTTATTTGGTAAATTGCATTAGAAAAAATAAAAAAATTAAAAACATTAGGTGAAACTATTTGGTTTTTTGCAGGCTTGTAAATAAATATTAGGGTATAATGGTCCTCTTAACAACAATCATTAGCCATCTGTGCCGTACCTGAACAAAGTTCCATTTTGTTTTCGATGGTAATTTGATGGCCAGGGGCTATTTGCAAATTCTTGAATAGATCAGAAGTTATCTGCAAAAAATCGAACAGTTGAGTAGTTATTGCAAATTTGCAATTTATCTTGAACCTAATTATTAGATATACTTGTTAGACGCAAGTCCAAACCGACATGTTAGGCAAATATCCCATATGGGCCCTACCTGTACCTAAGCATCTCGTGTCTGAACAAATACTTACGCAATTAGAAGAATCTGTGTAACATAGATTAGAACTATCTCATCAGATTCCAATGTCATTTGTTTAAGCCTCTTCCTGTCATACCATATTTAGTTTAGGTGGCGTATCACATTCCCATTCCACGTTATGGATCAGATAATGTATATCTTGCACTTTAAGTACAATCAATAGTTGGAGGTTTGAGTTTCCCAGTCTATCTACTAAGAATTAGTTAATGAGGATTCACTTTGTTAAACATGAGACAAATAAGAACTCATGGACACTCATATCATACGTCCCATTTTTTCCAATCCACCTTATCTAGGTTCATTTTTTCTTCTAAATCGGCTTTGCTCTTGTTGCATTGTCAACTAGAACCTAAATTACTCGTAGTGTAGGTTTTGATTTTCATAAACCACCTTGGTGCACTTTCTCCTATCTCTTACCTAATTGGTGCTTTCTTTTAACTTCTCAAGAACATGCTTACATTAATATGAGGTTCTCTATGAAGTTAAAAGTGGTAATTACCACTTGACACTTCTTAAATCATAGGATATGAGGTGTATCCATTTTCGTTAGCTTCTAATAATCAAATTACACTATCTTAGCTCTGTTAAAAAAATCAGAAGGAAATTTTCCTTCTTTCCCTTATTTTTTTCCCTTTTTCTTTTTCTTGTTGAGGATAATAAACAACTCAATGCTTATACAAGGAAAGATATGAGAATCAAGAGTACAAGGGGCTCATCCTAAACCAAAGCAAACAATGGAGAAAGAGAGAAGAAACCAATAAGACTGCAACAGTGAGAGAGAGAGAAAAAAAAAAAAAAAAAAAAAAGAAAAAGAAAAAAGAAAAAGAAAAAAAGAAGAAGAAATAACCCCATTCCAAAATTCAACCTCATACCCCCCTTTAGGCTTTAGGGGTTATAAAATAACTCAAATATTTCCGTGGTGGTATCCTGTGTTTATCCAATAAAAATGCTTCTTCGTTCCTAATTTAGGAATCCACCTTATCTCAGCCTCTAAGAATGTCATTGAATCCATAATCTCACATTTGTAAAGAGTAGCACCAAGATCCAATAGGTTATTTCTCTACCAAGCACCTTTTGGAGTCCTTAGGAGGAGGGTCTTTCAAGCCTTCCAAAAGAACAACCACCATGCTATAGACAAACTCTATCCCACTGACTTTGAAATGAGAACACAATTATTCCAAAAAAAATCTCTTAGTAGAATTCAATTGTCAATGGAAGTCTTTGTTCTTCACAAAGTATATAATAACTTGCTTGTGGATTAGGAGTCTTGCATGATCAGTCTAGAAAATAAGAACAAAATTCATGCTTTGTAATGGCATCACTGGTTTAAGAATGGTGGAATATTTTCAGATATGACTGGGTTTGCCTTTCCTTGACTAGATTAGGACTGTGCACTTATTTTGTTAAACTTGACATGGTTGTTTTTGAGCTGTGCAGCTTTTAGATGCGGCAATAGGTTCTTGATCTATTTGAATTTAAAGAAGACTTGCTTTAAATTGAGGGTGCACATATATTTTCTAATATCAAGCTTAATGTCCTAGCACAAATATATCGAACTTAACAACTGTTTTGAATTATATTATACCTTGTGGGTTTGTAGACACGTATCATGGTTCAAAGTGAAGAAGTAAAAAACATTCTTTGCTTAAAGGATGGGAAGAATTACGTAGAGGGAACGTATATGTTTTTGTCTTTGAAGGGAATTATTAAGAGCTTTTCAAAATTGTAATGAAAATGAGGCATCAAATAAATTATGAAACATGAACAGGTGTTGAGCTTGTGTATGTTCCTGTTCTGTAGCGAAGCTCGTAGCTAACAGTTGGACAATAAAATTGGACCGTCAAGTTAAAAGTTGTAGTTAAGTAAATGTACCTTCAAAAAGATAATGGATTTTAACACTTGATATAATGACGGGTCTTGTTTTGTTTGTCTGATCTGGAGTAGTATCCTTTCTGACCTTGACTATGATGATTTTTAACATTCTGAAAGGTCAACAACAAGGGGCGTACTCTGAAATGAACCCATCCTTGAATTAACTGTAGAAATTATAAATTCCCAAAACCATGATTTCCGTTGTCCTCATAATCTTCTTCCGGTACTGCCAATAGATCTAATGCTTGCGCTACTGTCTGTTCTTTCTTTTCTTTTCTTTTTCTTTCTTTCTTTCTTTTTTTTTTTTTCATCTTGGACCCCAAAGACCCTAATCGCATTCAAATTCCAAACAACCTTTGCAAGAGAATTTTGATTTTTTCTTTAAATAAAAGAGTATTTTTTTTAGTTGTAAAAGGGAAAAAATAAAATAACAATAATAATAAAGTTGCAAGGCTTTTGGTAATGCACATTGGAAGTACATTCTGGCAGAAGAAGGAAAAAGGAGTCATTTTAGTGAATTAAAATAATGCTGCTTCTCCCCTATGGAATTCCATTTCTGCTTGCATCATTAAGTCACAAGCACATGACATGACTTTTACAGCCACCTCCATGACCTTTTCGACCACCAAACACACTAACAATGCCGTTGGAGCTTACACTGCAGTGCACCATATTGTAATACCATCGTTACAATCAATCTTTTTATTGTTGTTAGCTCCATTTCTTCTGCTGATAACACCACCACTACCACCTGAGACCTTTAAATTTTTTTTTTTTTTCCATGTGGGAGTTAGAATTAATTCCCGTTTATCTACTTTTATCCATGCAGGGAGGAAAAAAGCATTCTAATTGGTTAACATTATCACGTCCTCTATTGTTTCCTTACTTCGAACACACATGCTACAAGTCAAAGCTGCACTATTGTTGTTAGCTCCATTTCCTCGTCTGATAACACCACTGTTGGGAATTAATCCCCTTCATTTGACACAGCGGAAGCAAGACATAAACAAGCACATATAAAAACACAATATTTTACGTAGTTCGGCTGAACTCGACCTATGTCCACGGAGAGAAGAAATTCCACTATAATGAATTAAGAAGATAATATAAAACTGTAGAGAATGCTCTCTCACTCACTGCCTCATGAGAAATTACAACGGTATGGACTTTGAACACTGAACCATGTGCCCACACTCTCTGCTCAGGTATGTTGTTGGATACTCAAGCCTTTCACGGTCTACCGCTCCTCTCCATCAGTGTTCTACCCACTCACTCATCATCTTTACCCCCCATGCACTCACCAATTTCTATGAAGCTGCATCTCTCTACCCTTGGTGCCCCATTCACTCCTCCGTTCTCTTTTCTTCTCTACCTTCTATACTCAACTCCACATCTATTTATAGAGTTCCAAATCCAATTCCTTGTTGGACAAGAGTTAAAATTCCTTGGAGCCCAAGACATGCTTAACAAGAAATTACCTTTATGCAATACAATTCTAAAATAGAAACCTAATTAGAATAGGAATTTGAGACGCAATTCCTAACAACCACCACTACCACCTACTCTTTGGCTACCATTATTACCTCCTCTATAATGTTTCCTTACCTCTAGCACACATGCTATGAGACAAAATTACACTGTTCATACTCCCTTCACAAGTTCACAGTAAAAGTATTATTGATTTTGCATCACCTCTGACAAAAATGCACTTCTCTTTGAAGTAGCTTCATAAGTAAAAATAAAGGGGTGATGTTGTGGCTCGAATTTGGTTCTGGGTCGTGTTGCGGCCCGATAACCCCTTGATTGCTATGGGGGATTTGGGGGCAGCGGCCCCGAGGGAATTTTTTGACCCATTTTTGCTTGCGGATCATGGACCCTATTTAGTATTCTCTTGTAACCCGATATATAAGGGCGTTTACGGTTTGGAGTGGGACATTGAGACACACTGAAAATTGCAGAAAAGAAAGAGAGAGCGATAGCTAGGGTTTGGAGGCTAAATCTTATAATCTCCAGATTTTCGCATAGTGAATTCTTTCGTCGGATCTTCACCATGGACTTAGGCTTTGACAAACCACGCTAAATCTTTGTGTGGCGTGTTTATTTTCTATCGTGGTTCTTGGTTTTTTCTTAGGTTTGCTGCGTTTGTCGTAGCAAAAGGCATGCATGGTAAATTAAATTTTTGAGTAGTAGAAGAATATGCGTATGAAAATAAAGTTGGGGTTGCAATGGGATGGGGCTGGTGTTGCAAGAATGCATGGAGTAGGTGATGATAATTGTTGATGCAGAAATCCTCGCAACCCAGAACGGCGGCGTTTACGTGCAAAACAACGGGATGTCACCTCGAATGGCACCGTGCCATTCGAGGTGACGTCCCGTTGTTTTGCACGTAAACACCGCCATTTCGGGTTGCGAGGATTACCCTCCGACAATCAAGTTCGTACTTGCCATTCGAGGTGACGTCCCGTTGTTTTGCACGTAAACACCGCCATTCCGGGTTGCGAGGATTACCCTCCGACGATCAAGTTAGTACTTGTAATCGTATAGCAAAAGAATTAAATCTGTATTGAATGTTTTGGGGTTTTTTCTCATAGCTGATTTAATGACTCGATGCCCTATTTATGGCTGCTGATTGGGATCAAGTCGGTTCAGCCCACGTCGATGGTTGAGATCTGCTTTCTCATCATTAACGGAGTTGGTTGAGCAGATGTCAATTAGGAAGACTATGTTGATCTTCTCTAACTGATATCCCCTATCTTTCACAATTGAATGAATGATTTGCGCTCTTTTCAACGAAGTCCAAGGAAACAGTTCAGTAAGGGCGGCAGTCAAAGTTATATCAGTAATGATGGTGGTGGTGGTTGAGTGATGTAATGGTGGTTGCAGAGCTGATGGATGTGACGATGTTGGTAACATTATCCTGATGGAAGGACAATATTTGTTTTGAAATGCAATGACCCTAGCTTTTACCGAATGACAGTTTGTTGAAGCTTTATGAGTTACTTCTAGAATGCATTGTCAACTGCCACTTTATTGTTTGCCTGTTGTTTCAAGGTTAATGCAAATAATGTGTTAAGGTTCACCTTTCATGTAACCATGCATTATACACAGGTTCAGGAAAGGAAGTCCCTGCACAATTTCTGGCAAAAGTACTATTTTTTTCATAGATTGCTAGCCAGTCATCATTATAGATGTAAACTAAAAAACTTTTGCCAGAACCATGGTGGTTTAGTCTCATATATCTGTGGAAAGATGTTTGAGAAACCTGTCTTCTTGGAGATGTTAAATAAAATTTGAAAGAATAGAGACATGGCATCCGAGTAAAGGATGATGTGCAAATTTTAATTGAAGATAACATATTGTGGATCTTGTATATGTCAGTGGAGCAAGTGCGTTTTTCATCCGTGTGATTTTTTGGTGACGTTAAATATTGTGAATCTTTCGAGTAGCATGTATAAATTTTTATTTTGACCAACGGGCCAGTGGCCCAGCATTTCCAAGCCCCTACTTCTGAAAGGGAGGTTAGGGATTCAAGCCTCCATTGAGACATAGGTGTGTGAGTACCAACTAAGAAAAAAATTATAAAAAAAAAAAATTTGAAAACTGTTGGTGCCTTTAAATTTCACTAATGTTTAGTAGGCACTGCTCAGTGGAAAATCTTTGGCTACTTTTTATCAGATTGAATCCTGGATTCTTAGTTTCCATTTCAACCCATTCACACTGGTTAAAGTCCTGTCTGATTTGAATCAATTAGGAGTTGTTTAATGACACATAGTGTGTTTTTCATGATGTCCTCGTTTCTTTGCATTATTTAAAAAATGTCCTCAATTCTTTCTACATCTTTGGCGTTGTTGGCAATAATACTGTTTTGCATGAAAAATATTGTTCCCAATTGCTATGGAAGATACGACACTATTTTCTTTTAATGTGGCTTCTGTAGAATTCATTTATTTCTGTTATGTATTGTTCTAAATTATAAATATAATTTAACTCTTAATTGCTTATTATGATTCGTCTACTAGAATACTGTGAAAAATATGCCAAGCCAGAAGATGTGGGAGCTGTGCCGGAAGATAAATCTAGTGACGAGGAGATGAGCGAAGATGAGTATGACTCTAGTGATGAGGCACTGGCAGGCCCAGTGGATCCATAGCCTCTTCTTTCCTCAACTCTCTGTATCTGTACATGATGTTTTAATTCCTGTAACAGAACTTATAAAAAGGGTTATTTATTGGGTAAAGGGATAAAAAAAAAAATACCCCAACCTCTTTCTGTTACATTTCTTTGGTAATGTAAATGAATATACTATTGGTTTCATGTTGTGAAATCGTTTGACTGTTGGAACTGGAATGGCTGCATGGCTTGTGGTTTTTCAGGGTGCTGACGTGCATAAACAGCAAAGTCTCATGCAGGCACCAAAGCTTTCAAATGTATATACCCATTTATCTTCACGATGCACAGAACTTAGTTGCTTTAAATCAATCTAGTAGTAGCTCAAAATGATATCTCTGGCAAATTTGGAAGCGCATCTGAGATCAGAATGTGGATTTCATCTGTAAATTTTGGTGCTATTGTATCGTGTTTAAAACCAGAGGTAATGTGTTAAAAAGTGTATGGCACCACTACTTAAAAGGAGTCAACTGAAGGAGTTAGTGGCACAAATCTATTCCTTTGTAGCGGAAGGATTATAATCACTGAAAATTATTAATTATAGTTAATAATTTGAGAATTATATACATGCCAATGTTTAAACCAAAAAAAGAAAAAAAGAAAAAAACATTGCATAGAGAAATGAGACACACCTGATCAGAAAATTTGAGAAATTGCCAGAAAGAAATACAAAGAGGTGAGTACATTTATAGAACTATTGATGCCCAATTGATCTCAAGGCTGGAGAACTTATCCCTGGATAATGTTATGCCTACCAGGAATAGCTACAAACTATCAGATTCAAATTACACTATTATTAACATTGCGAGCTCTCTGCACTTGAACGGGCCTTAAATGGCCAGTTAATACACTCACTGAAAGAAACAGCACCAACTCTTTTCATTACATCTACATTAATCTTCAAGCAGTCATAAATGGCTTGGACGCCTTTTCCCAGCATCCGTTCTCATCCTCTTTACAGGATTTGCCCAACCAACAGTCCCACCACCACCATTCATCTGTTGGGGAGGCTGGTTAGCCCACCCCTGCTGATGCATAGTATGCTGGCTCAATCTCGTGTCCTTGGAGATTGAACCAGAACCTGGACCTGGACTTCTAGTACTGCGACCCATGCTGGGGGGTGACACGGGGCCAGTTGACCCATTCCCTGGCTTCATCACCGACTTTTCCCTGTCTTTCCTCTTCTTTTTACAGATAACTAGCTCCCCTGGATGAGTAAAAAGCCGAGGTTCATCCTGCTGACCCTGCTCCCGGCTGCTGCTGCTGCTTCCAAGCCTTGATTCATTCTGAGGCACAAGACCCCTGCCCCTTGTGTCTTCACCAGCAGGAATATGTCCACGAAGCACTGGCTTCTGGGGAGGACTTGGGTCAAGTTCCACCTTGGTTATCAGTTTGTGTCGCTTGCTTTGGCCAGCAACCGCCTGCCTTGAAGACGGAGCAGAAGTTGAGGTAGCCACTGCACCGGAGAAAGAGAGTGCATTTCTGGCTTCTCTGAAATCCGTGTCTGGAAATGCAATCTTCAAAATATCAAAAAAAAGTTCGTGGACTTTCCTAGCTTCAGATCTCACCTGTTCATCATTGCAAAGTTCCTTTAAAATCTCGTTAATTTTATATAATTGTGTGCGCGCGCGCGCGCGAGAGAGAGAGAGAGAGAGACTTTGTAACTTCCTCAAGCCCTGCATCTAGAACACTAAATGGTGCCAAAATATAGCTGCAACTAAGAGAAGCCCAAATTTTTGATATGCCATTAACAAGAAGACAACAAGAATGCACCAATAACCAAAAATTTAGAACTTCCATTGACTTGGGTAACTAACAATTTGGATAGGATTAAGAACTATGAAGCACGGACACGGACACGGACACGGACATGGGTACGACAAGACATGGGCACGGCAATACGGCAAATTTCAAAAAAATAGGACACGGACACGGCAAGGATACGGCAATGAAATAGTAATATAATTATAAAATATATAAAAAATTAATTTTTACTCAATTTTTTTATTTTAATAGATATAACCCATTTATATTAGGCCCCTTAAACATCCCTATATATATATATATAATACTCCAAAAATGAATAATATAATCCTTGTAGCCAAACAAGTAAAGATAAGATGATACTATATCTGGCATCCCGCTTCTTTTCTCCACTAACTCTTTATATCCAAAAATGAATAGCATAATCCTTGTGTACCCAAACAAGATAGATGGGGTACTTCATCTGATATATCCCATCTTTCTCCACATCACCATCAATTTCGTTCAGTCACAAAGCATCTCTGTGCTTCTCTCTCTCCCGACCGATTCTCTCTCATCTCCTCTATCTTCACAATTTTTTTAGATTGTTATGAATTGATATATATGTATATACACATAAATCAATTTAGATACACACACACACACACATATATATATATGTGATACCCAGGTCAACTAACGGCTCTCTCTTTATCTTCTCTCTCTGGCTCCCTCATCTTCTTCCTCTCTATTTTAAAACGAAAAGTCTCTGGCGTGTCCAAATCGGTGTCTGGCAAGTCTTCATGCGTGTCCAAATCAGTCCGGCTATGTCCGACTACATAAAAAATACAAGACACTGTTGGGGAGTGTCGGACACGTGTCCGAGCTTCTGACACGTGTCCGACATTGGTACGGCATCTATAACAGCCGTGTCAATGCTTCATAGATTAAGAAGAACATGGTGAGTTTAAAAAGCAACTTCAAGGTCGAGATTGACCCCCAAACAAGCTTTTTCTCAGTCAAAGTGCAAAACTATATCAAAATTTCTATTAAAAAAAAAAAACTTTAAATTAATACCTATGCATTCAGTTGCACAAAATGCTTAAAAAGAAGGGAAATTTGCAATCTAAAATTTAAAACTTAAAATGTCAAAAGAAAAAGGCCAAGATAACTGTAACTTTCCAATTGTTCTTCATGTTGTTTCATTCTCTAAGCAACCAACCAGCAGGAAAGGGATTTTCCCCAAAAAGTTGAAAAACCTAAAGAATAAACACCCCTTTGAAGTAATATCTAGAAGCAGCAATTTTACATGATTTTTTTAATTCAAAGAGATTGCCAGAAAGTAACAGCTTCAACTTAAATGTCAAATCAATACCTATGCATTCAGTTGCACAGAATGTTTAAAAGGGGAAATTTGCAATCTAAAATTTAAACCTTAAAATGTCAAAAGAAAAAGGCCAAGATAACTGTAACTTTCCAATTGTTCTTCATGTTGTATCATTCTCTAAGCAACCAACCAGCAGGAAAGGGATTTTCCCCAAAAAGTCGAAAAACCTAAAGATAAAACACCCCTTTGAAGTAATATCTAGAAGCAGCAATTTTACATGATTTTTTTAATTCAAAGAGATTGCCAGAAAGTAACAGCTTCAACTTAAATGTCAAATCAGTCATGTTTCATGTATGTTGTTTTTCTTTCTCAGAAAAGGAATTAAAAATAGGTATTAAAAATTATTATAGTGGCTATCCAAAACTTTGACAGTCATTCTCGTCCAATCAAGTTGTTTCCAAAAACTCCTACAAAATTTCTGAATGAAAGAACCAACATGATTTTGTGTAATGAAGTGTAAATTAACATTAGCAACCATACCTCATGTGAAAATCCAAAATACTGCATTGCACTCTTTAGCATAAACTGCACATCAAACACGAGCTCCATCACTCCGTTATACTCAAATCTGTCAACACGCTGATCAATCTTGCGAATATCCAAAAGACTATTCCCAGCTCCGCTTGTGTAGCCAGAATTTTCAATCCTCTTCCACAAATCTGTAAGCAGAGGTACAATTTGAGGACCTTCCTTGTCTATTCTCCTTTGGAGCTTACTAATGACATTCTTGCACTGCAAATAAGAAGATCGTCAGGTGAACAAGAAGAAGAAGAAAGAAAAAGAAAAAAAAGATATAAGACGAAAAAGTGAAAGAAACATATGATGAAAGTGAAGATAAAAGTCAAGCACAAGTTTTATATGCAAAGATTGCCCTATGTGTAACATTAAGTCCCAGAACATGAACGAGAATCCATATTTAATATTTAGCATAAAAAGTTGTCTAGTTGAGGGGTGGGCTTTGGTGCAACCAGTAAGGTTGCTCCATTGTAACCTAGAGGTCACGGGTTCAAACTGGAAACAGCCTCTCCATGCGGAACTAAGATTGCGTGCATCTGAACCTCCCCAGAGCCTCTATAATGGCGGGAGCCTGGTGCACTGGGCTAGCCCTTTTTTATTTTTTTATTACAAGTGTCTGGCTCTGACCAACTTTTGAAATACAATCAAACAGATACGATTTGCAAAATTATATTGATGGAAAAATTGGAAAGTACCGGTTGGTCTTCATTTAAAACTTCAGAATTCGAATCCAAAACAGCAACAAGATAGAAATATAGACAGTTCAAGGATGCATACCCTTCTTTGGATGACGTCTGACATCTTAGTACTGCCAATTGATGTCCCACCAGTCTTTATAATTTTACTATCCCAACTTTCCCTCGAGTGTTCAGCAATATCTTCAGAAGGAGCAGACATGCAATTCAATCTGGTAGATTTTGGTGAAGCAAGCAACTTTGATGAATTTGCGATTCTCCTTGAAGGTAAATTTCGCCTACTTTTCAAAGATGAATCACTTTGATCAGGCTTCAAAGCATTCAGCCCCCCAGGCGTTTTGGGTTCAGGATCAGCCCTAGATTGTGGTTCATACTTGTGATCCACTTGGAATGGCAGCTGAGATGAATCTCCACGATGGAGAGATGGCTTTTCATTGGAGTATTTCTCTTCGGGCCTTTCTACAGTTTGTCGTGGCCGAACCCGAATACTACGTTTCCTTTTTATTTTGGGTTGCAGAACCTGTTCATCTTCACCTTCATCACGGTCATGAATCCAACTGCCAGATTGCTGGAGGTCCATGTGAGAGTCTCCTGATACAGCGATTTCCCCTTCCTCTAATTCATCAGGCTGCAATATTTATCAGAAGAAAAATAAGCGCTAGTACAAACCAATGACTTCAATAAACTAGTACAAAGAATGAGATGACACATACCAGCCTTTTTGAGTTAGAACTTGGTCTACCATCCAATGCAGAAAGTGATCCAAACTTCTGAGAAGATATAGAAGGTGAGACAATCTGCGTCAATCTTCGACTGTCTGAGGATGACCCTGAGGAACCAGCTTCTTCAAGTATATGATTGTTCCTAGTGCTTCCTGAAGCTTGGGGATACTCATATCTAGCAGCACAAGCAGGACCATCTTCTTCTGATTGATCTTTAATGACTGGTGGTGCTCCAATAGCGCCATTAAATTCTTCATCTTCAAACTCCCCAATTTCTCCCTCTTCTTCCTGCACAGAATACCCATTGCCCTCTTCAGAACTAGCTTCAGAGAACTCTCCATTGTCATCATCCAACTCCCTGTAAATAGGGAACTTTTTTCCCTTAGGCCGTCCCCTTCTTTTCTCAGTTTTAGGAGATAAATCAGAAGCCATTTCACTGGATTCCACGCCAATATTTCCACCTAATAAAGTGTTCCTTGATGGTTTTTTGGATAAATTAGCAACAGTAGCATTCACTTCTCTAGTGCTGGCTCGAAGCCACTTAGGTACCTGGTTGTACCTCATCATCTCCTCAGTCCAATCAAGATCTTCATCCATTTGATCAAAGAGCTCTACTTCTTCTTCACTCCTAGCAATCATCCGATTTACCTCCAACAGTGAGGGGACATCATGGACATTTTCTTGATACCGTTCTTCATCATGCAACAATGTCTCCAGAGTCAAACGTCTCTCTTCATGCGTTGTCCTCTGGTCAAAACGCCCAGCATTTATAACCTCATCTGCCATGTCAATCTTATACTGTTGAATATTATTCCTTATGAGGCTCTCAATAGATCCTATATAACGATCCTTACCCACAAGGTCATCATCTGAATCAACTACACCTCCACTTTTAAATTCATCCTCTTTTTGATGACTAGAATTTTTGTCAACCACTGCTTCCATATAGATGACTTTCACTTCTCTAGTCTGTCCAATGCGATGGGCTCTAGCGACTGCCTGTTCCTCATTTTTTGGGTTGGGATCAGGATCATATATGATGACTGTGTCGGCAGTCTGAAGATTCAATCCTCGTCCAGCAGCACGAATGCTAAGCAAGAAAATGAAGCAGTCGGTGTCAGGGTTATTAAAGTCCACAATAGCTGATTCACGGTCTTCTAAACTAGTTGTCCCATCTATCCGTCTGTACACAAGTCGACGCCACTGCAGATACTCCTCCAATATATCTAATAGTTTTGTCATTGTACTGAAGAGCAGTACTCGATGTCCTGTTCTCTGAAGCTTTATGAGAATCCTGTCCAGAATCCACATTTTTCCACAGGATCTAACAAGGAAATCCTTGGAGAAGTCATTGAAATACGGATAATTAAGCAAAGGATGATTGCAAGCTTTCCGGAGCTCCATACATCTGTTATTTAGTGGTTTATATATTTTAGCCTGGTAATTGGGATTCTTTTGAACCCTGCGCTTCTCATCTTCGGGATCCACTCGAATAGTACCAGTAGATTTGATCCAATCATAAATGGCACCTTGAATAGCTGACATTCTACACCTTATAACAATGGAAACCTGCAATCCAGTTCTGCTATTAGCAATAATCCACATTAAAGGACCTGACCACTAGGAATTCTACAACACTATACCTTGGGTGGAAGCGAGCCTTCCACATCTTCAACACGACGTCTGAGCATGAAGGGCTCCAGAATCTGATGAAGTCGGTGGATAACAATAACCTTCTTTTCAGTTTCAAGCCAGTCGTCCTCTGCATTATGTGTAGGACCTTCCTTTTGAAAGGGTTTGGAGAACCAATCATGAAATGCTTTCCGGTTATCAAAAACTTCTGGAAGGAGTAGATTTAAAAGTGACCAGAGTTCTTTGAGATCATTCTGCAGGGGGGAAGAAATGAAACACACGGTCCATGATCAGCTCCACTATAATAAAAGAGATTATGAAGGAAGAAAAACGGGTTTATTAGATCAATCAATCACAATTCTATGTTCAATTTCCCACTACTAAGAAACTGTCTTCTTGTTCTTATCACATTCCAGTTAGCAAGAAGTCATCCAAATATCTTAAATTATGACATTGTCAAGCTTCTTGTAGGATCTTCATCTAATAGCATTCAACCAAGTCTCTTAATTGAATAAAGAATTTTTTTAAAATATCAATATTTAGAAACCAAAAAAAAAATTAAGTTAACTTAGGGCCATTGGGGAAGAAATACTATTGCAGACTTACAAACATTTATAAACAAAACTGACCAACGTGAGAACCAGATAAATTAATTGGACTTCTGAAAGCAGATTACAGGTACACGTGTATACATATTTGAGTGCATGAGGTGACTCTGCACTGCAAGGCTGTCCTAACAGACCTGTAAGGGTGTCCCTGTGAGAAGTAAGCGTCTCTGGCAGCGATATCTATCAAGATCACGTGCTAGAACTGATTCCCTGTCCTTCATGCGTTGTGCTTCATCAATTATGATATACCTCCAATCAACTTTTGAAAGTTTTGACCGATCATACATGATGAACTCATAAGTCGTAACAAGGACATTAAATTTCAAGGCAGAAACCTCCTACAAAATGAATCCAAAAAGAAAAAAGTCTTTACAGCGACATAACAAAAGCTCAGATCACAAGAAATTTAAAAAAATAAATAAATAAATAATAAAAATCTGTGTAACTTACTTGAGAAAACAATTTTGACCGTTGCTCTTTTCCACCAACATAGAAAATGCAGGACACAGAAGGCAGCCAAGTATGGAGCTCACTCTGGAAATCAACTATGTTAGCCATATTAAAAAGTGTGAAAGAAATAACTTGTAGCTCAGAAACAAAAAACTAATCAACCTTCCAGTTCACCAGAACAGCATTTGGAACAATAATAAGATGTGGGCCGTAGTTTCCTTTGAACTCCATCAGATAAGCAATCAACGCCATCACCTATACAGGCAAGGAGACAATCAAAATAGCAAGTGCATCAGTAGTTATAGAAACTGACAGATTAGCAAACACTTGTCAGAATGTCTTATCAAAAACTAGTAAGCTTCCCATATATGTTAAAGGAACTCCAGAGATCAAATCCAGGAAATAAATTAATAGATAGGGCTTCTTTCACGTTTAGGTGAGTAAATAGGACATCATTTAAACAAACATAACAGAGATTTACCTGTACAGTCTTCCCAAGACCCATCTCATCAGCCAAAATTCCATTTAATTTATTGTTATACAAAGAAAGCATCCATTGCAATCCAACCTGCAAAATTAAGCACAATAATGAACTCAAAAGGCTTATATGAAGCATACGAACTGTAGGGGCAGACCCAGGATTTTTTCTTTGGGGGCCAATACGAAATAAAATTGAATTAGAAGTATGAAATATATGTTCTAGTTTATATAGATACATGTATGTATATATATATATATATATATATATATATCCTTAATGTAATAGATAATCTACGATTATTTATAGATTAAAAGTACTTCATAATTCTTGAGCATATGAAATGGTAAGAACTGAAATGGGGATTATATTCAGGTTTTTTCTTGAAGCTTTTTTCCACAATGGAAGTTTCCAAAATAAGGTAAGGAGTCCAAATTGACATTTCTTTGTCGGTTTTGGAGGTGCCAGAACTTAAATCTTTTTAATTATGTTACTTTCTATCTACAGGGCATTGAATAGGATTAACCACCCCACAACAGCCGACCCCATGCCCTGTTGGTCTGCTCGTGATTTGATATGAAACAAATGCAAGACAAGAATTTTAATAAAAGAAATCTAAGCAATTGCAACCTACAAGCTGATAGTCTCGTAAGGTTCCAGCCCGCAACATTGAAGGCTGCCTCATAACCCTTTCATTCACAGCATGTGCAAGATTGTAATACCTGGTGAGAACGATGAGGAATAAAAACTAAAGAGATTAAATACCCCAAAATATATCTGTTCAAACGTAGGACAGAAAGTTAAACAAGATATGCATTCAAAAACCCCGATGACATATCCAATTGAGACTTTTAAAGATAATTAATAAGACGGAAATTCTTGCATGTGCAGCACACAATTAGGGCACTTACTTGTTAACAGATGAACTATCCTTAGGTGCATTCATTTCAGAGAAACGATTTCTTATCATTACTTCCTCTCCAGCACAAGCTGCTGCAGCTCTTACTTCCTCCTCGGACAGACCCTTTTGTCAACAAATAGAAGCAACCAAATGCATAAGCCGGTTGAAAATTCTAAAGGGAAGATATTGTTTGTGATTAACTTGACTAGGATGTGAATTCAATGTTGAAAGGAACAAGGAAGAGAGTTCTAAAAAAACAAAGACAAAAAGCAATCACAGAGAGAGAGAGAGAGAGCATGCCTGAGTTCGTGCAGCAGCGGCAGCAGAATTTGCTGCCTCCTCAACCTCCTGCTGATTCTTTGCAGCCGTTATTTTACTTCCGAGTTTATGAAGATACTCTTCTGTTTGACTTAGAAATGATGATAGAACGGCGTATCTCTCTGCAGCATCACCCGGGATGCTAGTCTGCTGCTCCATCAACATTTCCCTATACCTCTCAACATCATTATTCTTTAACGCCTCCATCCTTCTATTACGATCATCATCCTTTCTCTTTGAAAATTCCCTCAGCATTCTCTCATGGTATTTGGCAACTCCTCTGTTGCGAGCAGTTCGTGCATCACGAATGGCCCAATGAGCCTCAAGAAGCTTCTTACGCCACTGAAAAATGGATTTAAGTTGTTTCTCTCTCATGGCTTTCTGAGAAGCCTGTACTTGCCGTGTGAGCTCCATGCGTTGACGTTCACACAGCCGAACAAATTTCCGATATGGCCTATCAGGCATTGCCATTATCTCCTGTTGCTGTTGATCAACTTCATCCCTTAAGCGTGCCTGAATATCCAAAAGTCGAAGTTTCTTTTCTTCAATTTGTAACCGCAAGACAAGATCTGGCCTAATCCTTTTCCTCTCTAAGTTTACCGCTAGCAACCCACCAATCTTCTTTAAATTTTCTGCCCTTTTCTTATTTAGCACTTCCATACCTTCCTCAAAAAGAAGATCCTTCACATCATATGCCAATGTTAAATTATTGTTGTTGTTCACCATCATTGTGGACCCAAAGGAGTCATGTTTACGAGTGAAAAAAGGGAAATCAAACAACGGTCCATGATACTTCCTGGTAGGCCCAACATCTTTGGGCTGAGGCACATTGCCTGCTTGTACAGGTTTCTTAACTTGCACTGTATCAGATACAGCAACTTGTGGTGCAACTGCCTTTCCCTTATCTGCAGTAAACTCATTCCTGGTAGGAGTTTTCTGTATACCATGTTCAACTTCCTGTTCTGATTTAACAGAAAACATAGTATTCTGCTGCTCTTCCTTTCCAGCAGTAACCACCGGTGCAAGTTCTGTCATCACAGCTGCTGTACCCCTCATATGCACTGTCGAGGCAGTTGCTTTCTCATCTACTGCAAAAGCTTCCTCTTTTGAGTTATTATGTCCACTAGACGATGCCACAACCTGAGGATCCTTTTCACTGGACTCCAAATGTCTTCCATGATCTTCTACACTTCTCCCAGCAGGTCTATCTTGATTAACTGTTCCAGCAGCAGGAAACACCTGCTGCAGCTGCGCTTCAAGGGGGGGTGGACCAATAGCCTGAAGTAGTTCTTGTGGAAGTGTTCCATCTCCTTTCTGACAGCAGAAAAGGCAGTAAATAATACCACTCCATCAGTATTCAAAAGTAAGTAAAAGAGCTAGTGGAGTATCTAAAAAAAGTGATTAAGGGCAGACAAATTTGTATTAACAAAATAAACATTCAGGCGAAAAAAAGGCACACAAAATTGAACAATTGCAAACCTTCAGGCGCCTAAATGCAAGAATTTGTGCTTTGAGAACATGCAGTTGCTGTTTGGTAAACCCTAGACGGTGTTGTTGCATCTGGGACACTGATCCACCCTGAGATGGAAGGACATTTCCTGAGCCCCCATCATTAGATGAAGCAGCAGACTGTGGAGAAGATCGGTTCAACTGCCTGGCGTGCTGCATTTGCAAAGTATCTGGACCACTCATTGTGTTTTTTGCACGCGATGCATGATCTACACCCTGGTTCAAGTTCGCAGATGACTGGGGAGGATGCATTCCATTACTGACCATAGTTGGCTGTCTTGGAGGCACCTGGTTCTCTCTGCCATGAACAGAAAACTGTTGCATTGGGACACCATTAGAGTTAACTACAGCAGCATTTGAAGTTGTGCCAAAAGGGCCAGGAGGAGCTGTCTGCCTAACCTTAGCAGAGCCAGACTGTCCAGACACATCACTCGAAGAATTTCCATGGGGAGAACTCTCACTGGCAATTTGCGGAGAAGCAACCTGTTGCTTTGGCATCAGTCCAGGTGATGACTGCGCACCCATATTGCTTTCATTTGCCTTTTGCTGTGCAACCATTCTAGACTGCATGAGTGGTATAAGCTGCGCCATCAAATTGGCATTTGCAGGAAGTGAGAGATCAATATTCCGCTCAGTTGCCAATGCCTGCATAACCTGCATCTGCGCAGCCATTGCAAGATGGCTGTTTGCCATGTTTTGGACACTTTGTTGGGCTTGTGATCCCTGCATAGGCCTTACCATATTTGCCTGCATTAATTGTCCAATTGATGTTGGCTGGATTGACGTCTTTGGATCACTCCTCTGATCAGAGATTGACTGTTGTCCTTGCTCTGTCTGCTTCTCACCATGAGCAAAATGTTCAGATGATCTCTTGGATGATGATGCCTGGGCCTGGTTAGCTGCCTGAATAGAAATTAGCTCCTGCATCTTTGGATTTCCCATTCGTATGTCCTGATCCTTCCCTGATGGAGGCCCCACCATTCCCATTTTCACTTGCTGCTGAGACTGAATCCCCAGAGCTGATTTCTGTTGGGCAGCCTGAAAAGCATACTGGAGATAAGCTTGATGGAGAGGATTCAGCACTTGTTGCTCGATGCCTTGAGTCCTGTATTGGCCCTCCTCTCGTACATGGGAGGAACCATGTTGTAGAGCCAAATCAATGAACTTCCTTGACAGTTGAGACGGTTGCGCGGAGCCAGAAGATGAACCGAAATTGCCCCCTCCCAAGACTCCATGAAGACCAGCTTGGTAGGCTAGAATGGCTTCATTTCCTTCAGGTCTTCTAAGAAATTGTTGCTGCAATGACCGCATGTGGAACAACAAGGTTAACAGAAACCTCTGTACTGGTTAAATTATAGTGGAACTCAAATCAATATGGAATGATATCATGCAAGGTGCATATGTTAACCAATGTCTTAAGCCCAAGTGCTATCTCCTCCTACTTCGAACTGGAGGGTTGAGGGTTTTACGTCCCCAAATGGGTGTGTATCTGTCTCTGTGTGTGTGTGTGTGTGTGTGTGGTGGGGGGGGGGGGGGGGGGTTGGCGGCTGGATAAGGATTCAAGTCCCGATTCTAAAACTGAAATCACTAGTATATCGAGACTATTCGATAAATCACAGGGACAACCCACGAGAAGAACAAATCAGTTCTGGTACTCGAGCAATAAATTGGTTTAGATTTTAAAGCCTATAATAAAATAAAGCATGAAAAAAACAATAAGAACTTAACTCAACCAATGAAAATGTGTAAAAGAGAATACTGCCAATGAAAAAAAATTACAAATTTAAAGGATAAAAATAATTCAGCATATCAACTGCTGGATTTCCATAAACATAACTAGAAAAGGTATACTGGTGAATCCAAACTCTAAACCATAAACATAAAGCCCAAAATTTTAATTATCAAAATAAATAAACAAAAGCCAAGCATGGTATCATCCAAAAGGCTACAGTCTATTAGTATTCATCTTTTAATCAAAAATAAAATTGAAGAGCATTAGTAGTGCCAGCATGATTGCACTCGATCCCATCCGAGCACCTCCCTTTTTTTATTATTATTATTTTTTTCTCAACTCAGAAAGAAAAAAAAAATAGCAGGACAAAAAGATATATATATATATATATGCATATGGGTTTCAGAGTTGAAAATAATCTAGAAAAGCTTGACATGGTTTGGCAGTATTAAGTCCCATTATTTCTTTGAACTAAAAAAATTCAGAGTAAGGCTCATTGCACCTGTTTAAAAAATATCAATATAATCAAACCCAAAACACATTAATGTAAAACATAAAACTGAGTAGCTTCCAAAACCCAATCATGAAATACACTGTTTTCATAACTACCCACCCCTCCAAATGTTCAGGCAATTAAAATTCAACATGGCCCAAAATTAAGATAAGGCCCTTCTGGTGTTAAAAAAAAAAAAATCTTGAATCTGAAACCAAGTAATTTGGGTAAAAGTGTTGAGTTATTATGAGTATGTTCAGGCAATTAAAATTCAACATGGCCCAAAATTAAGATAAGGCCCTTCTGGTGTTTAAAAAAAAAAATCTTGAATCTGAAACCAAGTAATTTGGGTAAAAGTGTTATTATGAGTTGAGTCCCAGATATAGTTAAGAAGCTTACAGTTCATTGTTACTCTCTGTTTGCTTTTTCTTCTATATTAGGATATCCCTAGTTTGACTCCTTAAGCCATCAAACTGATTAACAGAAAGTTCAGTTGATTAAATTGAAATGTGCAAAAAATCACTCCATTAACTACGCAAATGTCCTCTACGTTATCCAACAAAAAATTGTCCATTCAAAACCTACATAAAATCCAAACAGAAAACACACACACAGTCAAAAATTAAACACAACTGTCTTGGCCCAAACTGTTACTGTTAGACTTCAATGTTATCCTTAGTTGCTATTTGCTTGGAAATTAGACTATGCCTAGTTGAACTCCGAGGGTAGCTCAACTGAAAAACAGAAAATTAAGTTACAATAGAATGTATGATCAACTCAATTGATTGCAAAATTCAGTGCAACCCATTTGTGGAAACAATTCCAATTCAGAAGTCCATGTATCATTTCAATAATCATACATAAATTGACACAAATTCTAACCTGCCTCTGTCGTTGTTGCTGTTGTTGCTGCTGAATTGGATCAAACCCTAGGTGCGGTGTCGATACGGCAGACGACGAAGACGACGGCGACGCAGAAGAAGATGAGGGCCCCACGGCCGGGTTCCGGCCATGCCCGGCCGCTCCGCCAAGCCCCTGCTGGGTCCCACCCCCCGATTGCATACAAAAAATGTAGTCGAAATGCAAAGAACACTCAGAAATCAATACTTCAACAACTACCAAATCCCTCCAAAATTCACGCGGTTTTCTCTAAACCGCTGTCGTTTAAAGCCCTGTTGCACTCCGATCCCAACGTTCAAATAACGTCTTGTCTCTTTCTCTCTCACCACTTTCTCTCTCTATAAATTTCTTTGTATCTCTCTCTAAAGCGATAATTTTGCTGAACACAGAAGAGGGAATTTTTCGCACGAAATTGTGGGGCCAACAGGGCTCGATCTTGTGCCCGGAGAGTCACCGAAGTTGCCGGATCCGTCTGATTCGACACACACACACACTCTCTCTCTCTCTCTCTCTCGATTTCACGGAAATTGCTTTTCAGTCAAACCCTACGTTTTTATGTTTATTTGTTTATTTTTCACAATACTTTTTTTTCTCTCTCTCTCTCTCTACAGCTATATGTGTATTTATTCTCTCTCTATAATAATGATGTACTTGGACTTTGATGCTAACTCTGAACTATGGTTAATTAACCGTAGTTAGAAAATCACGAGATAAAAGAGGTGTGAAGGCGAAGATGCATCGTCGCAATTTGACCCCGAGATGTGCTATAATTACTAAAGAGTCCCTATTCTTAAAATTCATGGAAATGTGTATATATATATATATTTATTATATATAATCACTAGTAAATTACATATGTTTTTGAGTATTATTATTAGAGTCCAATTCAAGTGTTTGAATTTAGAGAGTTCACTCCAAGGGACTTTTTATCAATTGGGCCACCGGTGCAAATTTTTATCACCCTAATAAATTTACTAGTGATTACATATATTAAAATTTTATGTTAGAGGCCGGTGGTCGGAAGGTTACTAAATTCAAAAAAAAATTATTATGATGAGAAAATTGGCACAGGCGATTCAAGAGTTCTTTAAAGTGAACCTCTAAATTTGAACCTTCTCGATTCGACTCTCATGGTATTCAAAATTATATTCGTGATTTACAAATGATTACATATATTTAAATTTTACTTAATAAAGTATTGGTGCACCGAAACTATTACTATCCTAATTACACGTATTCAAACGGGTAGCACCAAAGGTTATTAAATTCAAATAAATATCCATTCCAAAAAAAGAAAAATATTTATTATTGTGAGAAAATTCGCACCCTTTGCCCAATTGATAAAAAGAGTCTCTAAAAGTAAAACCTAAATTCAAGCATTTTGGATTCTGGATTCAATTCTCATAATACTCAAAACTATATGTGTGGTTTGCGAGTGACTACACGTTTTCTAATTTTCTGTTACAGTCTGGTGTGACGAAGGCTACTAAATTCGAAGAATTCTCCGTTCTAAAATAAGAAAAATATTTATTACGGTGAAAATGTTTGCACTGGTATAAAAGAGCCTTTTAGGGTGAAACCTATATTGAAACATGCTGGATTTAATTCTCATTATACTCAAAACTATATGTTTGGTTTGCGTTTGATTACACATATTCAAAATTAGCGTTACAGACTGGTGCATCGAAGGTTACTGAATTCGAACAATTCTTTGTTCTTAAAAAAGAAAAATATTTATTATGAAGAGCAAAGATAACAAAGTAAACAGGGTCCTTTTGTGATTCATAAGGTCTACTTTCATTTTTCGTATTAATTAAATGATAAACAATGTGAATCAGGTTATTGGAGCTCATATACCCTTTGTAAGAGTGTATAATAGTTGGATTATTTTTCAAATCAATTCATTGTTTTCTTGAAGGAGATTGATTTAAGCTTGTCAATTAATGAAATGACACAACTATAAGAATTTGTGTTGTTATATACAACCCTGAAAAAGAATGTTGCAGTTGGTATGTATTCATTTCTTTGGTTGCAAATATAAAATGATATATGCATAGAATGATAATCGACATTTTAGTATTTAGTTAGACCAATTTAAAATTTACACACATATTTTTCATTGAGGCTCGAATTCATGACCTCTCTTTGAAAAGTAGGGATTTAGTACTAGTAAGCCAGTGGCATGTTGGTCAAAATAGTCAATTCAGTGACAAATAAATTAAACTAACAAAATAACTTTTTCTATAGTTTTTTTTTTAAAGAAATGACGAGAGGTAGAAAACAACCGTGGTGTTGGAAGACAGTAGTGGTGGAAGGCAATAATGGTGGTGGAAAGCGGAAGGGGTGTAGGTGCGGGTGGAAGGTGGTAGTAGTGTAAGTGATAGTGGTGGAAGGTGACACTGATGGAAGGCAATAAAGGTGGTGGTAGCGATGGCAATGACGTTGGTGGAATGCAATAGAGGTTGAAATGGTAGTGAAATGCAGCGATGGAAGGCATTGGTGATGGCGGAAGACAATGGAGGGTAGTGGTGGTGATGGTGACGACAATGGCAGTGGAGGTAGTGGTGGCGGCGGAAGTGACTATAGTGGTGGCGGTGGTGGTGAAAGGTGATAATAAAAGGCAACGGAGGTGGTAATTATTGAACTTGAAACATGAGTATTTTTTTGAGAACTAGATTTTTAAGTTTTTTAAAATAAAATAATCATTCCATTGATAAATAGATTTTCATTCATTATGTTTATGCATCCCAAATACAACTAAAAAAATTAAAAATAAGCCCCAATATTGACTCTCCATTATTTAATAAAAGCAATCCAATCTAAAAATAAAATGTCATTATTGTCTATAAATTGATAAATGAGAGACTAAGTAATAGCGACAGTTTTGTCATTTATTTCAACAAAAACAAAAAATGAAGTGTATTTTTCAAAAAGTAAAGTGGGAAATCTAGCCTTCCAACAAGTATGGTTAAAATTTTGACATATGCATTCATGTTTGTGTATTTGTGGACAATAATCTTTTACTTGGAACATTTTTTATTTATATAAATTAATCTGACAACTCTACTGAAAAATGAATGAACCTAATTTTATATTTTAATGCCAGTAATTTAAACACTATGGAGACAAATGGCAATCTCTGTGTGATATCATATTTTTGGTAGGTCATACATGTGGAATGAGAGGATTAGTCCTCTCTTTCTTAATGGAGACAATGCTTTGGTACTTATTTAATTCAAAACGGTAAATTTTTCTGCTGTAAAGTAGCATCTAAATGCCGTCTAAGTTACCAATTTGCTTAGAAGTTCCGTAGTCTTCTATGTTTTTACCGGCAAAAATAAAAAAAATGTTAAATCAATCGCTTTAATCATAATATGTTTGAATTAGATTAACGCATGTATGTATATAAAATATATATAATTTTATTAACAAAAAATACACTCATAAAATTTACTTTAAAATACGAAGAAGTATCACTCAATGTATTTAGTGGTGATGAGATGAATATATATAATGTGGTGTGATAATAAGTTTTATTTTTAATTTTTTTAATAATAAAAGATTAAAAGTGTAAGAATAGAAATTCAATCCAAGTATTATTATCAATTGATAATTATTTTCTTTCAAATTGAAAAGTTGAGGGTTTAAAATAATTGTACCGCATGTGCAATGGAATTAAATTCATATATTCTTAATTCTTGAACTATGTTTAAGAGTAATTCATATATTCTTAATTTTTAAACTATGTTTAAGAGTAGAGAATCGGTGTATTTAATTTAAAATTGAAGAAAATTTAAGTTAAATTATTTCAATTCCAATTTTAATTTCAATTCAAATTATAATTCATTAATTCAGTGCAAAATGATGTAGAGTGCTTTTAGGCTTATACTTTGGATTGGTGAGACATTTAATTGAAAGAAATGTTTAAATTGTCATGAGAGGGTATTTAACAATTACAAGGTACAATTTAGAGAGGTAATGAATTTTATCTACTTATTTGGGAAACTTTAAATGGATGTTTTTATTTCTGGTTTTCTTGACAATGTTTAATACATATTCCACCAAGAAAAATTACATTTTTACAATACGCAAGTCATACTTTTGCAATTTATTTTATTTTTGTAAAATTTACAATTTATTTTATTTTTAAATTTATAGTATCATTTCCTCCACTATAAAGATTTTATAGGTGGGGGATTTATTTTTTTATTAAATTAGCTTAATTGTTTTTCCATTTCAATCAAATAAACTCCCAAAAGGTAACACCAAAAGAAACAGAAATATAAATAATTCATGTAAATGGTCATCTATGATTGATTGCAAAGATATATAAAAATAACTGTAAACAATTCAAATGGATTTTTTCCCCAAAATAGTTGAAATCACAGCCTTTCGTGTCCAATTAAGCAAAAATTGCAAAAATATAAAAAAATCCGACCTGCCGGATTCGAACCAGCGACCTAAGGATCACAGCATTAGCACGACTACAGTCCTCCGCTCTACCAACTGAGCTAAGGTCGGTTTACAGTTACTTTTACCCAGAATTATATTTATAGAAACTTTGAAATACCCTTCTTGTCGATATCAAATCCCCAATTGGAAATATTGAGGAGCAGATAATATATTACAGCTTTTTATATCAATATTGCTATTTCATATTCTAAAAAGGGAAACAACCTCTTGGTATCGAAAACATGTGATTATAAAAAAAAAGGTACCATTAGACAACAATTTTTGATTATATATATATATATATATAAATCCTTACCTATGCTCTTACTTTATTCCAGGCAAAGGAAGATAGTCATTGGGTTGGTTAAGAATTAATGGTAAAATATATTTTTTGAAAAAGATTTTCCTTTTTCGGTATTTGACAAATGTTTAAATCGTGTAAAATAATTTATCAAAAATAAATGAATAAGTTAATTTTGTTAAATTTTCATATTTTTTTCTTCGTAAATATTTTATGACAACCAAACATAAAAAATAAAAATTAAAAATTAAATAATATTTTCTGAAAATATTTTACATAAAAAAAAAAGCGGAGCCTTAAATCAACTCAAACAGATGCAAGAATCTGTAACCACAAGAGAGAGTACACCTGAGGGCTTCAATCCCTTCATCTGGGCATGTAAAGACATGGTCACGTGAGGGGTACCGAGTACAGAAATGGGAATCCAAAAAGTCAATTGACATAAACATTGTATTTATCATACAGTGAGTTACACTGTTATTTACTGGGGAAAAAAATGTAGTAATAGTTTTGCTATTTTACTTTTGACAAAAAAATAATAATAATAATAATAATCCTTTCTGAGAAAAGAAAGAAGGAGAGAAGCGCAAGTTTGCCTTTCGCCTTTTCACAACCTATAGTTTCTTTTCAAATGCAACAGTGTGCAATTACAAATCAAGAGAGAGTTTCTGGCTCGGAATTCTCTCACAAAACTGCAACAGAGTGCAGCTTAAGGCCAAGAAGCCAGTGCCAAGATGGAGCGAAACCGTGAAATGGATTCCTGAAAACAGAACAAATATTTGTATAAAAAAGTCATACACTGCTTGATTATTTATCAAGATTAATAAAATGATCAATGAATACACCTGAATAATGTTCCTACTAAATGGCCTAAATACCTCTCATCTTCTTGTTTTAGCTTTGCATCAAAAGGCAATATTAACATACATAACAATGGATGTAAGATTACCTGCAATTGTGTGCAAAAAAATTCTCTGTTCTTTCTCAGTCAGCATGGTCATGAAAACATATAATATTGTTGATAAAGGACCTTTCCTTGCGGTAGCTACGGATGAAGATAGAAAATTATTATCATGTGCGTACTTGCCATTTATTGAATCTATCAGAAGTACAATGCTAAACATTTAAAAAGATACAGCTTAAAATGTTAAATATTTAATGATAAAGCTTAAATAAACAGCAAATCAGCTTCCAGAAATGTTTACAGCCTTTTAACAGAGATAACGGCATTAATCAATACTTACATGACAAAGGATGCTACACAGAAGCAAGTCAATCCAATGGAGAAGTGAATGAAAAAAGTTGGCCAGAAGTTATCCGGATCCAGAAATATTTTCTCAGAGATGAGAGTGGCTACACTTGAAAATAGAAGAGCTATCCAGCCTGAAGGCAAGCAGTTGCGAAACGAAAATGAGGAAGAATCCTGTGGAGAGGCAAAGCACAATGTTAAAATCTGCATCTAAGACATTCAATATTTAAACTCTAGAATATGTGAAAATCCACCAAGGTCAAGAACAAAATATGGCTATCGCAAATGTAAGGTAAAATAATTTTCACAGGCTAAAGTCTAAACTCTAAAGATATACCTGAAAATAGTTCTTGATGAAAACTGCTGAGTAAATAATCCTAGAAGTCATATCTTTATGGCAGTCAAGAAACCATAGACCACAACTTTGATCTCAGCAAAGAAAAACTGCATTGACTAAAAGTTTGAAACATACCATAATTAAACACATACATGTACAGCTGCCAAATCATTCACACACACACACACCCAGTAAGACACTGCCATTATAAAAATTAGCTAAACTAATTTTACTGTTTCAGCAATTGCAAGAATTTCTATAAAACGAGTATGTTTGCATTCTTGTGGACGCGTGTAATTACTAATTAGTTTTGATATTTGTAGAAAAGCTAGAAGCCTAGGATTAAAGGAAAAATCACCATGAATGATAATTCGATAAATTGTGCAAAAAAGAAAAAACAATTTAATATTTCTATAAAACGATTACGTGCATTCTTGTGGATGCCTGTAACTACTAATTACTTTTAATATTTGTAGAAAAGTTAAGAAGCCCAGATTAAAAGAAAAATCACCATGAATGATAATTCAATAAAGAAAAAAACAATTTTATACATTTAGGCTTCGCTTCGCTAGGATAAGGTGGATGGAGTAAAAAAAAAAAAAAGGATAACATTAGTTACGAAAGAAAAGAAAGGATAACTCCATCGTCTACTTTTGTTTTGGATAAGTTTTGAAGGAAAGGATAGTAATAACCTCTACTCTTGTTGTTTCTTACTTGTCAAAAAAAAAAAAAAAAAAAAACCTCTACTCTTGTTTGGAAAAGGTGAAGAAGAGAAAAGAGATGAAACCATCTTGTTCAATTCACTATCACACCCTTTTGCATTTAGAAAAGAAAGTAGAAGATTTATGCATTAAAAAATACCCTCAAAACTAATAGTTCAAAAGATCAATACCTTTTTGCTGTTGCAAGCCATGCTCTCTGGTGGCCGCTCAAGATGTATTAAATAAACCAGTACGAAAGATATATAAAAAATGTCCTAAAACTAAAAGTTGTTCTTATTTTTTATAATTTTAAGGGTACTATCAGTATTGTGAACGTTTCATTAAAAGACTAACGATCTCTCTCTAAATCCTCCCACTTGTGAGAGGATAATGAAGACACTGTTAGAGAGGTTAAGCAATCCCTCTTTATCCCTCTTTTTTATTTTTATTTTTTCCTTCTCCTTCCCCATTTTTAAACCAAAAAAAAAAAATTATGCTAACCATCCATTTCTTTTCCTTCCAATTCCCTGAATCCAAATGAAGCCTTAGGGAATTAAGGAACAACATTTAGGACTTCATAATATCAATGGCTTCTTGCGCGATGATAATAATAATTTTAATCACACAACATAAAGCACCTCTATTGCTGAGAATAAATTATCAAAAGCAAATAATGGTTGAAATAATGTCCTTCTCCTGACATATATTCACCATATAAGGATTACATAGCTCCCTCTATCCATAGAATGACACTGAAAATTTAAAAGGTGCCTTCACTAACTGTAGTTTTGCCTTTGCAACAAAGATATACTTGAAGAAGCATGGTGCTGTTATTATGCTGTCCATTAGTAACGTGACATACAGTGCATGCTTTTTAGGAGATCTTATGGGCCACAGATTGTCTTGCTTATTCCCTAACCAACTTCTGCATATTTCAAAAAAATTTAACTTAAAATTTTAACTAAAGAAAGACCGTGTTATCTGCTTAGTTGTTGCCTATTCGTCTCCAAAATCCTCCTATATTGATCAACCAAACATTTGTACCAACCCTAAACATATTATAACCTACTCATGTTCATAATGAAAAGCTGACTTGAGTCAGATGATCAAGCAATTCTATTGGAAATTAATTGGAAAAGAAAAATTGTTCTATACCATGATGCAAGTATAATGATGCTCAATGCAAAGATCAAGCAAATGAAAAGGATTTCACCATGCTATCATAGAAACCAAAAAATAAAAAATTAAAATAGGCGTTGTCTAGGAAAAGGTAAAAGGATAATTGGAAATTAATTGGAAAAGAAAAATTGTTCTATACCATGATGCAAGTATAATGATGCTCAATGCAAAGATCAAGCAAATGAAAAGGATTTCGCCATGCTATCATAGAAACCAAAAAATAAAAAATTAAAACAGGCATTGTCTAGGAAAAGGTAAAAGGATACTCAAGGAATTCGCAACGATTAGCCCAACTGCACCAGCTGATCGTATTAATAAGACATTCAGTACTATGTAAATTAATGAGAATACAAGCAGGGAATCGTTTGAACGCTTGAGTTGGTTCTCTGTTGCAACTGCATGCAGAAATGCTTCCGATGTTCCTGATGCAAAATCAAAAGGAAAAAATTTCAGTTTCTTTTAACATTATATAAAGGCATGCATTTAAAATACTTTTCTTTATCACAATAATTCCACTTGCCTGAAGGAATTCAAATATGGTAAAAGATTAATTATAAAAAGACTGAACAAAAAAAGAAAAGTTATAATTAAAGATAAACCAACTCCAACACATTGAAAATAGCCCCAGCTTGTAAGGGGACACAATCAGTGATCAACCTCAAATTTTTGTGGAGTATTATGCAGGCTTGTTTGACGTCCTGAGGAAATTCATGGAAATGGTGTTTTACCCAAAAAGGAAGGCTTATTTGAACATTCCAATTGAAATTGAATGAATTAGTTGCATCTAACAAAGAAAAGGAAAATTCCATCAACAGTATCGGAGCCTTCCCTTACTACTACAACAACTACTACTGCTTCTCAGGACTATTTGCAATTCCAGTCTATTGATGCACTTGAGTCAGTTCTAAAGTAACTTTGATGGATACTCTACATGTTTAACAATCTCTCAGTCTATTGATGGATGCACTTAAGTGGGTGCTAAAATATTATAAAAACGAGACAGGTACTGCAAAGCACTTGCAGATCGCAATATGGTGTTTCCCATTATACACAAAAATTAATTCCATAATATAACCAAGAAAAACATAGAAGGCTAAAAAACAAAAGAAGACAATTACAGAGGTGGTCAAAAGGAGCAGTTTCACATATATAAATTTTACTTTCTAGTGTTTCTGATAAGAAATCAATATTCAATATTCAGGTAGACATTAATAATTAGATGGATGGTATAAGATGCTAACCATTCATTGCCAAAGCAATCACATAAACGCAATAACACCGGAGGGCTGTGGACGCTTCTCCATCACTCCATTTTCGACCATACAACAATCTGATGAGAGAGTAAGAATAGCTCGGGCCAAATGCCATAACTACAAGACCTACAAGTATATAATCAAAACTTGAAACCAAGTATAGAGGTAGTAATTGAGGCAAATTATACAATTAGAAGGGACTCTTAAAGATGAATTTGCTATTCAAGGTCATGATTTTGCACTGTCTAGAATAAAATTAAAAGCATAAATATGACAAAGGATTATTATGTGTCCAGACTATAGACATTACTATTTTACAACTAAACTCATGAAAGCCTTACTCAATTTACTAGGATCACCAATAGGAAACATGTTTGTCATTTCTCTCTATCTTAATTCATATTTCCTATTGCAATATAAGCTAATATATGCAAATTCTCAAAAATGTTTTGATGTATCTGGTCAGTCACTAACACATGCCCCGCATAATATGCATCTGGCCATCTGCTACCAAAGATCATCAGGTGATACAGCCTTAACTTGTGGTATTCAACGAACAAAATTCAAACAATAAAATAAAGGAACCTGTTGGAGTGTTGGTTGGCTGAATAAAGCTAATGACTGAAAGGCAGAATAATTTTAGTTAAATTGTAGGAAAATAAAGAATATTTGACTTAGAAATAATACTAGATGATAGATTAAAAGAAAACATTCATTAGAACTTCTTCATTATAGGATACATAGTAAATTGTACACCTCCACTTCCATCGCTTTAGTGGGTGTTTAATATTTCTGACCTTTTAAGTGACTAACAATTAAAGGAATTGTATGGGTAGTTCAACCTGGAATTCAACCCTTCAACAACGAAATCGGGCGCTAGCCCAAGCTCAACCAACATCCACAATATTCATGTGGGCTAAAGTTTGTTCATACGTTTCATGCTTTTGATAATTTATGAGTAAACATTGTTTCCTACACATACTAACACTTCAGAATTTTTCTATAAAGCCACAGGGACCCCGACTGGGAACTAACAAGTAAAATGAAAAAAGTTTTGAGCAGGAATAGTGTTTTCATGGGAAATGAATTTCCCATTCATAACTCACAATAGATGGAGACATAGTCCAGCTCTAGCAGTAATGACGGAGTCAGGAATGTACTCTAGATGGGGTGACTTTAGATTTTCCGGAAGGAGAACCACATAATAACAAACACCAATCATCCTTATTACTTCACTAGCCTCATCGAGAAAGTTATTTAGGGGTTAATATTAGATTTGGGTCATGGGTCTGAGTTTTAAATGAATATAAACTGTAATGGGCATGGGGGGTTTTAAAATATATTTGTTTTCGAATTTTGTGGGCGCAGAATTGGGATTTTTTCCGTAAAGTTGAGTAGTACAGCAGCCTCCACTAGGCCTTTCTTGGCTCTATCCATGTCTACTGGAGGGGAGCAGCTTTCGACTCTATAGTTGGATTTCCATCCAGCAAGCCTAATAGTCAAGGGAATTTACAACTTATCCACCAGCAAAGACTGACAGCTCAATTGAACTACAAGGTTACAGAGACGCGTATTGATCCAACAAAAAAAAGAAAAAAAGTAAACGGCATTGACTATCCTACCCTACTACATAAACAAATGATGAAAAGGAGTTTGAATCATCTGTTAGTTAAATCATAAATTGGGAATTCTCTCCGGTATTTCTATCAACAGTGACAAATTAAGATGGTGGTCATTTCTTGATTAGTTGGTGATACGGTACCGTCTCTGACCATGCCATCTGCATCATATACATTATGACTGTAATCCTGCATATGATTCCAAAATAGTGAGGACTGAAAACAATAATGTGAAAAAATGTTACACATACAATAATTATAAATTTCAAGGAGGCATGGAAGATTCAACAACCACTAGATGTCTTAACCCATTATGGCTACGCTATCTACAGAACCTTTACACTATCAGTATCATAGCATCAATCCCTCGCTATTCTCTGAAATCTCATGGACTTCTTACATTTATCTAGTAATCAGTTCTAATCATCTAGGTTTACTACCATTTAAGAAACATAACACGACCACAATACAGCTTGGTGCAGAGAAATTTTATGCTCTAAAATGGAGACTAAATAAAAAGAATTCATGAAGCTTGAATTATGTGGAAATATTACCAATTAATAAAACAAGCTTCAGAGCATCTGTTAGACTTCTTCCTAACTTCTTGCTTTTCTGTGCGTTTTCTCCTGCCAAGAAACATTAATTTTATAGTGCTGATGAAATTCAAGCATATTTTATGAAGTTGAACCAATAACTAAAGATCAACTGAACAAACTAATGGGATTTGTCCCTTGCATGAGAATAATAAGGCTAAACATTAAGACAGAACAGTTAAAGTAAGACAAAGTACCTTCCAATACATCAGTTCGAATGTGCATGCAGGATACTGTGCAATTAAACTATAAGAAACACAAATACTGTAAATGACACAAATTCTTCACCCTTTATGATAACAAAAAATGTGCACCAAGTTCATGATAGGTCATCTAGTTCACACTTCAAATAAACACGATAAAATAAAATAAAAACTTATTGTCCCTTCCAATCATAAAGTTGCATCAAGGGGTGAATAAGTAAAGTTGTTTCACAGAGAGAGAGAGAGATCATAGTCCCAAAATTTGTTGATAAGGTTGCACAAAATACGCTGGGCAGGGAATCGGTTAAAGATGCCCCAAGGTCAAAAGAGGATATGGATTGTGTATGTGTTTTTTAAGCACGTTCGAAAAATAAGAAAGAACTGAAAATCAAGAACCCATAAGAACTTCGCCTTTTTCTCTTCTTTTTTGTTTTTGACAACTTCCATAAGAACTTCAGCTTGATTGATTAAAAAAATCAAAATATGCGAAAAATGAACCCAACAGTCCTCTCTGAACATCTCACTTTCTCTTTTCTTTCATTTTCCCTCGATCACTGACTCCAATAATGAATGTCCTCTATGACCTTCTAATCTAACCATCTACGCCAAATACTATGTATGGCCCTTGACAATCACTCAATTCAAACAATGAAGAAAAAACATCATCATCCACTACCAAGTTCACCTACCTAAGTCCCAACATCAAATTTCATCTCCTAACCAGAAAACGGACCACACACTGAGATAGAGTGCAGAGCTAGAGGCAGGAGTGGGAGAGAAAAAGTTGCAAGAATGTAAACACTATGCAATCTACAGAACCTGCAGAGTTCTCATATGCTGTCAATCTCTACCTCCTCTCCTGATATTTCCTCATCCCTCTCAGGCAATCTACTTTTCAAAATCTCCTCCGCTATATAGTCACCAGACACTAAAATGGTGTTCCAGTATCAAACTGAATTATAGTTCACTACCCTCTAACAAGTTTCCACCATAGTCCCTAGGTTGACAAATTCCTCTTAAACAACACACGACACGCATATCAGGGTAGAGCAGACCAGGAGGCAGAATCAAGAGTGCAAAATGGGCAAAACAGAGGGTGAGTGCAGAAGCACCAAATTGACAACACATTGTGAATCGAACCATCCATGCAGAAGCATCAACACACAAGAACTAAGGTATCATAAAAGACTGAGTAACCAGTTTGCAACCTTTGTTCATCTACTTGCAAAAATATATGTAGCCAGGTGAAATGAAATAATTTAAAACTGTAAAAATAAGGAAAGACAAACAGATGATATATGAATTCCTACGAGCTAAATTTATCTAGAAAACAAAGAGGAAGTAGGAGTAAACCTGATGCGGACCTTGCAAATGTAGCAAATGAGCTCTCTTCAAATGGAAGAAACACTAACCTCACCACTAAGCTTCCTGAAACGTGAATGACATATGCTGAGAAACATTTAAGTAGGGAAGTCCAGAGCAAGAGTAATTACATCCTTCTCAATCAAAATAGCTCTAGGTCAAAATGAGCTGCATCCATTTCAATTGAAATTGATATTGTGAGAAAAAAGATTATTAAATTTATGACACGGGATTTTTGTACTAATACTTACCTAACTTGTCTACAAGTCCATATACAGCTTGGTTATATGGTGTATCCAACCATACAAGGACTATCTTTTCTCCTTCTTGAAGAATCAACTTCCGAAAAGATTGAAGGGTAAACAACATACACATATTTGACAGCTGCTTATCGTAATCCATTAGATATCCTATTCTGTAAAAGTATATGTTATTGACTACTTTAAACTAGTAATAATGGAAAAAAGATTAAAAAGAAAAACACAGCACATCGCTATAATGCTATCGAAAAAACAAATGAGCAAATTTTGGCATAAAATTTAACAGAAACTCCTAGAAGTGTGTCTAAGAGAACAACATGATAAATAAGTAATGGTAAAAAAAATAGCACTACAATCCAGATATCCCACCCTGCCCAACCCAAGTGCGACTCAGCCCTGTGACAGGCTTTGACAAGTCTTGTTGACTAGACGTGTGAAATGGCCGCAATAGCAATATATGAACATGTGTGTATGTGTCTGTATGATTGTGTGTTATTTAAGAGAAGTTATGGCCTTAGATGATACAGAACAACGAATACTGTTAATGTAACGGATTCCAAATAGTTGGGACAAGACTCTGTTGAGTTGACAGTTGAAGGTGCCAAGTGCTCAAAATTGAATAAGGCCTTAATCTCCCCATTCGGTCAATGAGATCAAGGAGTTTAGCTTTATCCTATTGTTTGACCCCACAAAGAAAATAAAAAAAATAACAATTTAAAATTCATAATGGAAAACCATTTATAGTTAAGGAAAGGTTTGTTTTAGGAAGTTAGTGATGGCTTCTAGCTGAAAGAATAAGAGTGTTGTATAGTTTATGTCACTGTCAAATGGTCGACGAACAGAGCTTTTCATGAAGCTTTGCTCAATCAAGCAGCAGTAGAGGGAAAAAGTTGGGTGTCCACAAAAGTGAACAAGATTGACACTAGATAAAGATCTTAGGAATCCTTCAAACATGAGAAATTCGAAACAGACTTCGTAATTTCACTACATTTTACATATATTTTCATTTTAATGTAAACTAAAGCTTTTTCTTTTCTTGTTCTTTTGTTGTAATAATTACAGTATATTTGTCAATGGAGGTAATGATATTTAATATAAACTCAAGTATACCTGAAAGGGAAGAGATCAGAACTTTGGAATGCACGAGAAAGAAGAAAGTATCCCCAATAACCAAAGAACAAGCAAGCTCCATAAGCAGTTTGAGTTAATGCAAATACAATCGCTTTCTCCTGCAAGCCCATGTTTAGATATTGATATTAGCATCTGTCTCTAAGACATATTTTTTGTAAACCATCAGAATTTAACAAAAGAAAATCTTATACCCATTCCGCATGAATTACAAGGGGAGAAAAGAAAAAAAAAAAAAAAAAAAGGTTGTATACCAAGCCCATGATCTACAGCTTGCAAGGTTGTCCAGATAAAAGAATATATAAATAGAGGACTTCAAGATCATGCAGGCCAAACAACAGAAAAATTGTCTTCAATTCAGTGCCAAAAAAAATTTCCAGATGTAGAGCAATAGAAGAAATCAAACAACAAGAATTATTTTCATTACCAAAAAAGAACACAAGAACCAACTTCATTCCAGTGCAAAATAAAATCCAAATATAGTAAGAGTCAGGGAGAATGAAAATATCATCAAATTCAACTTGAGAGTAACAATAAAGACAAGTTAAGAAATCACAAGTTTCTAGATTAGCTTCCAAGTCGATTGTAAAAGATAAGATTCAAGACCTAGGGTTGAAAATGAGATGAGCTGAACCAACTATGCATTGCTGAGCTCGGCTAGACTAGACTCACCTTATGTGATGCTTGAGCTCAACCTAATTTTAGCTCAAGTTCAGTTTGGGAAATTTACAGGACATTCATGCTCGGCTCATACACGTCAGATGATCAAACAAGTGCGAACACGTGGTCTAACAGAAAAAAGTAGCTGTCTCTATAGAATAAAATGCTGTCAGCATGCATTATAATTTTTTAAGTAAAACATAATTCGAAAGGTATTGATTAAAGTAACATCTTGTCCCCCTCAAAATACCATCTAAAAAGGTCTAAATTCTCAAAAAGCCATTAAAAGTGCGTACGTGAAGGCCTTAAAGAACCTGCCAAGCTGCCTGAGCTCTAGGGTTGATTTCCTGGCAAGCCTGAAGGCTGAGCTTGAGCTCAGCTCATTCGTACTTATGAGCCAGCCCAAATGTTCTCTTGATGAGCCAATATCAAGCTGCCCACCAGTTGCTCAACTCATTTAACAACCCAAAAAGATGTAACAATGTAAGCCACAAAGCTTGGCAACATAAGCCGCTTGAACTTCATACCATGTCAGTTCGCTTGATAATGAGGATGTAGGTTGTCATACAGCGAAAAAGTGTAGCTGCAGTTTCAACCATTAGCCGCAGTTTGAGGAGGAGCAAGTTCTGTGAAAGAATATAGAAGGGTTCTGCCAATAGCTCCACAATACATGCAAAACCTGCCAAAATAAATGAACCAACATCAAACATGAAGCTTTTTGATAGAGTAATAGTAACATTAAACGAACATTCATTCATTTAACACCAAATGAATGATGTTTAGATCTCCATGGTATGTTTGCTCAGACAATGACATTTGATGCATGCCAACTCCAGCTGTTTTTACAAAAGTATGTCGGCACAATTGCCAAAAATTTCAATATATATACACACGCAGATGCACCATTTGATACTCAATATGGCCCCATCAGCTATTTTTGCCGCTCATAAATGAAATTTATAATAATACATCTTTCAATAATATAAATAACCTAGCCTGTACTACACTAGCATTAAAGGAGTGTTGAGCATAAATTAAAGATTACCGTTAATCAAGATAGCTTGCGCATAGGGACTAGAATAACTTAGGTCTTGCCACCAAAAGACAAATACACATGCTGCAAGTGTGATAATTATTCCCAATGGGAGAGTCATCCACGCTATCTTCAAAAGCTTTGCTACATTTACTCCTGTTGAATCATCATCACTGCAACAAAAGAAGTAAGAACAGAAGCCCTTTTAAGATCAAACTCAAACATAAAATACCGAAACATATGATTTTATAAATGAAAATGTCGAGGTTTCCTTGATTAGCCACGTGTCAAAGAGATAAATCCCAAGTGTTCATTTCATTCAAATCAAAAACCATATTTAGTCAGATTCAATATATTCTAAAACAAATAAAATGTTAGAATGTTAATCCATCCAGAAGGAGATCCATATTTTAAAGTTGGTTAGGGATCTACATATTACATCTGTTTTACAAGTTAGCTACCTTACTTTAAACCTAGAGGTCTCAACCTCGGCTTCTCGTGCATTTATATTCTCACTCGAGCTTATAGGAAACTCAACAAAATAAATAAAGAAAAGACTAGTCACGAAAATCCCTTTACAATCAACCCTTCTTTGCCATGTGAACAAGGTCTTAGTATGCATGGGCATTCTGGGCAGATAGCAATAAGTCATTGGTCGAAGGATTTAGACAAGCACAATTGATCGTAATTTTAGTTTTTTTATTTTTTGAAGTTGGATTTAGACCAAATGTTTTTAAACTATCAATGATGTAACTTTAAGCCCAAACAAAAATCCTGTCCAATGACAACTTTAGAAGCATCGCGGGTTTTAGTCTAGTGGTATCTCCTCAATTTCCAAAGTGAGAGGTTGAGGGTCCAAGTCCCCGTAGAGACAGAGTGTGCAAGTGACAGTTGCAAGGACAAGTTACAGCAAAACCGTAAGACCAATCAAATAAGCAGACAAGTAAAACAGTTGCAACAGCAATGTAACAATAAGGGAAAATACTTATATATATATATATATATATATATATATATATAAACCAGATAAGGGAAATAAGTAATTGCATTATAAGCATGAGGCAGTACCATCTGATGTCCACCCTCATGCATGCTCGCCGGAAACCCTCTCGGCTAAGAAATAATACACAGGTGACAAACAAATGAAATTGCACAGCATATAGCTACAGTGGAGAAAGGACAAGAAAAATGTGAGAATACAGCTTGAACCACATATTTTCGGAAACCACTAGAAAATAGTCCAAACATAAATGAAATATTAAAGAAAATTAAATTTATTACGTGCAAGACAAGTAAGCTTCAAGCCTCCACTTCTTTCAACAGGGTGAACTCCAACATATAATGAAAAATAATAACAATAACTAATTAAAACATGATAACCTTAGATAAGAAAACAAAATAATATTAATCATGTCTTGTAGAATCATTACAATGAGCTATCAGAGCTATCAGGCATCAGCTTAAAAAATCAAAGATAGCCCAAGGTTAATGAACAAAGTATATTGCATTGCAGACATTTTCTGATAACTCATAAACATCTCAACTATCTAGGACATACATTGTAGTCATACTTAATTTTCCCCATATGTATTCTAAAGAGGGCTGTGGAGCTAGGTTTTTTGAGAGGCTTTCAGGTGGGCAGGGATGTTGCTAGTCAACTGGAGGTTTCTCATTTGATGTTTGCAGATGACACTATTGCGTTTTGTGATGCGGATGTGTCCCAGCTGAGGTATTTGAGATGCATTCTAATTTGGTTTCAAGTTGTTTCTGGCCTTAAGGTTAATGTTGAAAAGAGTATTCTTGTGCCTGTTGGGGATGTTCCGGAAATTGAGTTGTTTGCTCACATCCTTGAATGTTGCACTAGCTCTTTTCCCATTTCTTATTTAGGATTGCCTTTGGGTGCCCCTTCGAGATGTGTGGGGAGCTGGAATCCGGTTGTGGACAGAGTCGAGAGGAGGTTGGCGGGTTGGAAAAAGCAGTACTTGTCCAAGGGGGGTCGGGTTACCCTGATTAAGAGCACCCTTTCTAGCCTTCCTACTTACTTCTTGTCTCTGTTTCAGATTCCTACTTCAATGGCGAGAGAATTGAAAGATTGCAGTGCAACTTCCTTTGGGGGGGGGGGGGGGGGGGAAGGTGAAGAGTTCAAATTTCACTTGGTTCGATAGGAACAAGTGTGTCGTCCAATTCGGTTCGGAGGCTTAGGGTTTTGGAGGTTGTTGCCTTTTAATAAGGCTCTTCTTGGTAAATGGCTCTGGAGGTTTGGGATCGAGAGGCATTGGTTATGGAGGAAAGTTATTGCTAGCTAATTTGGGGAAAGTCGTGGTGGGTGGTGCTCCCTGGAGATGCGTGGTCCAAGGGGGGTGGGAGTTTGGCATTTCATTCGGAAGGGTTGGGATGATTTCTGCAAGCATGTTCTATTTCGTATTAAAGATGGAAGGAGGATCAGTTTTTGGATGGATCTCTGGTGTGGGGATCTCCTTCTTGCTCTCGCGTTCCCTCGCTCTATAGTATTGCTTTTCATCGACAGGCCATGGTTGTTGACTGTTATCATCTTGATAACGGGAGACTTTCTTGGGATGTTCGTTTCAGGAGACATTCTCAGGATTGGGAGATCGAGGATGTTTCTCGTTTTCTAGAGCTGTTGTATAGCCGGGTGATTTCTTTTGGGGGATCGGATTGGTGGTTCTGGATTCCTACCTCGCATGGCCGTTTTGAGGTTAGGTCCTTTTTCAGATGCCTTTCGGTTGGTCATAGAGATCCCTTCCCTTGGAAGTCTATTTGGCGGTCCAAGGCTCCCCGCACGGTCGCCTTTTTTGCTTGGACCTCTGTTCTGGGTAAGATTTTAACCCAGGATAATCTGAGGAGGAGGAATCAGGTGGTGGTCAAACACTGTTACATGTGTTTGTGTAATGAGGAGTTTGTTGATCACCTCCTTTTACATTGCAGCATGGCCAGAGATTGTTGGGATTTGATGCTTCGTTTATTTGGGGTTCATTGGGCCATGCCTTTTTCCTCTAGAGGGTTGATTGAGGCTTGGAGAGGCGTCTCTGTTGGGGCTGGCATTAGGGATGCTTGGAGGGCTACACCGTTTTGTATCTGGTGGTGTATTTGGCTTGAGAGAAATAGGAGATATTTTGACGAGAAAAAAGAAGTCCGTTTCTATGCTTAAGTTCTCTATTATTTCTACTCTTTTTTGTTGGGTTTCAGGGAGAGATTATAGATCTATGGAGGAAATTATTATTTTTTTGGCCTCTCTGAAGGTCTAAGGCGCCCTTTGGCCCTTGTGCTCTTTTTGTTTGTTTCGCTCCCCTTTTTTAGGGTTTTTAATAAAATCTTACTTATCAAAAAAAAAAAAATGTGCACAAAAGTTGCACCCCCCAAAACAACACACACACACACAATTCTGATGTACACACATAATAAGTAACAAAAATCATAAAAAAGGGGAATTAACAACTCAAAAACTCTGTTCACAAGCATCAATAATAGTTTATAACAATCCTCTTTTAAAGGGAAAAAATAGCATTGCTGAACACCCCCGATAAAAATAAATTTCGTTATAATATGGACTAATGAGTCTAATTTAATAGCAAAAACTAAAAAATGGCTGAGAAAGTATATCAGCAACAATAATATCAATAAGAATGGTTACCGCGTAGTCTTCTTCAGTGAGGTGTCTGACGATCCATGAATTGAATATGAATGGAATACCCCTTGACAGGAACTGCGTAGCTATATTCCCAAAACATATACATTACACAAGTTTACATACATGTATATATGGAAAGAGATAGAAAGAGTGAGAGTTTTAGAGAGAGAGAGGGAGGAGAAAATGCTGAAAGTGATATAGAAAACTAACCCAGTAAGTACTTGAAAGTGCGAGAGAGATTTGTGGTGCGATCGCCATATCCGATCATCTGAGGTCGCTCTATAGAGGCCTTTGACATCTCTAATGTTTGATGGATCGATTGAAATCATGAATGAATTCACTAAACCCTAATCGAGAAGTTATTTAGACAAAAACCCATATACAGAGGCACAGAGCCGCCTTTCATGATGAACTCTGTTTCGACGTTTTGGCAGGACAGGCCGATTCGGCCAGGCCGATCCACTCAGGAACATTCTATACGCGTAGACATCACCATGTGAGTGGGTCGACGTCGATCAGGCAGTCTGCGAGACCAGCACAAAAACCTAACTTTCAACTTGAAAAAGTGTTCTAAAAATATACTCCGTACTTAATTTTTAAAAATTGTGCCAAAACACTTCCTAATAAAAAAAAATCTTGCATAAAGTAACGTCGTAATACTTATTTAGGTTAAGTGTAAAAAAAAAAACTTTTGATATATAGGATTTGTGCAAAAATAGTCTTTACTTTTTAAAAATGTACATTTCAGTTCATAAAATTTTAAAAAGGTAAAAATAAGCCCCTTTGATAACTTTTTTTTCAAGATTGACATAAAATAAATTCAAAAACCCTATTTTGCCCTTGGTTAAGTGCAACAAAAAAAAACCCTCTACTGTCGATATAATGCAAAACAGTCTCTATGTGGTATAAAACCCCATATACTATCAATTTGGTGCAATTACTCCTTGTTTGCATAAAAAATACATTAATACCCTCTCTAATATAAATGAAATAATATTAAAAAAAAATTAGGCAATGTAAAATTACCATTTTAGATAATTTATTCTTTTCTTTTTTCCCTTTTTTTTTTTTTTAATGACACGATGAGTTAACTCCATTCATATAGGGTTTGTGATGTGGCTTTGTTTGATGACACATTGAGTTAACTCAACAGATTGATGTTGAACTTTGGCTATGGGGTTGAATTGAATGGGCTGAATAAACGTAGTGGTGGTGGTAGTGAGGATGGTGGTGGAGCGTAGGAGTCTAGGAGAGAAGGGTAGCATAGAAAAATAAAAGGGCAAAATAGGGTTTTGAATTTATTTTATGTCAACTTTGATCAAAAAGTGGTTAGAGGGGCTTATTTGCATCTTTTTTTGAATTTAAAATGCACATTTTTAAAAAGTATGGACTATTTATTCACAAACGCTATATATCATGTTTATTTTTTTGCACTTAACCCTTTAATTTATATTAGAGAGGGTATTAATATCTTTTTATGCGAATAAAGGGTAATTGCACCAAATTGATTGTATAGGGTTTTTTTTATACCACACAATAACTGTTTTACACTATATTGATAGTAGAGGGGAATTTTTTGCACTTAACCCTATTTATTTTACCATTTAACCCGCCTTTCAAAATTTTCTCTCGCCTTTTCAATATATATATATATATCTTTATATATTCCGATAATAGTGTATTGTTGTCACAATTATCATATTAATGTGCAATATATCATATCCATGAAAATTTTAAATCCTTTTATAATTATATATACAAAAATTATTCTCAATTAAATTTTAATATAGTTATGAGCTTTCATTAAGTATATAATTAAATATACTTATTCATTATATATAAACAATATACATTTAATTTTAAAAACTTTATAATCTGCAATAAATTTTCACAAATATATATATATATATATATATATATATATATATATATAATTCTTTACATAGAAGCAAATGGGTATTCAAATCAAATCATAATAAAACTACGTTTTCAATTAAATCTAACCATTAAGATCAAAAGATTGAAAACAACAATAATTTATAAAGTGCAGAAAATATCCTTATAATATGCTTATAGTGCGTATCACACATTTCATATACTAAATGACAATTTTCGTCATTTCATAAAATGATGCATTTTTAAATAATATGTAAAATGTGTATGTAAGAGCAATTTAGTCAAGTTATAACTTAAATGTGTTAGGGACTTATTTGCACAAAATTGAAATTTTAAAGTATTTTCTGCACATGAGGGGTGTGATGAATATACTATAGGAGTGTTTTCTGCACTCAACCCTTTATTATTATTTTCATTTATTTGTCTGTTACAAATTACAATTATTTAAAATAAATAATTTCTAACTTCAAAGAAATGAAAAATTAAAATATCAAAACCAAAAACAATTATAGGGGTAAAATTTAACAATCATAAAATTAAGAGCTTAGTACTCCTAAAATAGCTTAAAATTGATTATTACCACCAAACGATTTTAACCCATATCTCTTTTTTGAGAACATTAAATTATTTATGAAAAATAAATAACTAATGAACCGTTAAAGACTCAATTGAAGAACAAATCAAACTTATAAGTTATAAACCAAATAATAATATTACTAACAAATATGAGAATAATAAAAACACCAAATAACTTCTTTTAGTGTTGTTGTCATACACATATTCTGTCAGGTTATTCTATAAAAATGTTCAAAATTTATGAATATTGTTTTATTAAATTTTACAAGTAATATTTATTTAGCATTTATTATTTTGACTTCCTATAACTGTTATATATATATATATATATATATATATATATATATATATTGTGTAAAATTGTTGTGTCATCATGGATTTACACAAAAAAAAAAAAAAAAAGAAGATTATTTATTTTTATTTCTAACAAATTTTTATACCGTTTGTGTAAAAATATATCCTCCAATAATAACTAATTACGTGTCATGTCAGGACCCCACATAACTTTTATAATCTACTTAATATATGTTTGATTTGGTAATAAAATGAGAAAATGGGAGGAGAAAGAAAATAAGTTAATGTGGCTATGTAAAAAGGTTATGTAAAATATATAATAATTTTACACATTAAAGACTTTTTGACATAGAAAAAAAAAAATTGTACATCATACGTGATCGTGTATATTTTATACAAAATAATATTTTAACATACTACTAAGGATGCTTTAATTTGACGATGTGCTCACTTTTCTAGTAGTGGCAATATTGACTTAAATGTCATAAAATGACAAAATTTTCTTACCATAGTATGAAATGACAAAAGAATAAATTATAATGACCACCCCTAAAATTCTAAATTAATAAATATTTGTAATATAATATATTATTATAATAGGATAAAAGTATTACTGTCTTTTTACATTTAAAATTATCTTCCAACCAACTAATGAGTTCAAAAGAAAGCAAATTAATACCAATTTATTCAAATTTGATGGGATGTAAGTATAATTTATCTTATTTAATTTGATTCAAAATTTAGGGGTGACAATTCGTATTTCCGAGTTATAATCGTATCGTGTCTATTTAAAGGTATTCTGTTAAATAGCTCAATCCGAACACAACCCATTTAATAATCGTGTCAGGAACTTTCGACACTAACCCGACATGTTTATTAAACGAATTACGCTTATAACCCGTTTAATGACCTGTTTAATAAAATCAAATATTTCATTATTTAAATTATTAATAATACTCGATCAAACATTAAATACTGAAAAAATATAAGTTTCAATCCAACCAAATTACTAAAAATAAATTATAAGATACAAGTTTAGATAGTTATTTTTGAACTTAAATATAAATTTGCTTATGAGAAGAATAGTTAAACGGGTATAAACAAGTCGAACCCCTTAACCTAAGTACGATACGATTAACTAAACGGGTTAATCGTATCAACCCGTTTACAATCCGAACACGTTTAAGGTCAATCTAAATCCGTTTAACTTGTATTGTATCCTAGTCATTTTGGTGAGTCGTGCCAAACTTTGCCCACCCCGTCAAAATTGAATTTGGTTAATGAAAAATGAATTTGGTTTTTGACATTTTGTCTAAATATCCTCCAAGACTCCAACTGTAGTCAACGGCGAAGCGCGTGCGAAAAAGTTTGTGGGGGCCAAACGCGTACAATTCACACCCACACCACACGCAGAGATTTCCTCTTCGTTTAAATGTGAATCCTAAACCCAACTTTGATTCTCGCACCTTCAATCTCTCACAAATGGAGAGACGCATGAAATTTAGTTTCTCTCTCTATTTGACTCTCTCTCTCATCAACCTCGCAATCGCGGCCTCCTTCTCTCCGATCGACCACTACCTCATCGACTGTGGCTCAACTGAATCCACCACCGTTGACGTCGACAACCGCCGTTTCGCCGGCGATTCGTCCGATTCAGGCTCACACTTTCTCTCCGCAGCTCGAACGATCTCACACAGGGACTGGAATCCACTTCCGAATTCGTCCCCAATTTACCACACAGCTAGGGTTTTCACAAGGCCTTCAAAGTACGTGTTTGAGATCAGAGACAAAGGAACCCACTTGGTACGTGTTCATTTTCACCGATTCCATTCGTCGAATTTCGAATTATGTAGGTCTCAATTTCATGTTTTGGTTAATGGGTACGTGCTATTGAATAATTTTACTGTTGAGAACACGCCAAACCCTATAATTAAGGACTATATGATTTGGGTTGATAGTGAAAAGCTTGAAATTAAGTTTTTGCCATCAAAAAGATCGAAAATTGCGTTTGTCAATGCGATTGAAGTGATTTCTGCACCAAAAGATTTGATTGCCGATGTTGCACAGTTTGTGGGTTCTGAGAAAATTGAGAAAATTAATGGGCTGATGAAGAATTCATTTGAAACCGTACACAGGGTTAATGTGGGTGGTCCCAAAGTGACCCCATTTAATGATTCCTTGTGGAGGACTTGGGTTCCTGATGATGAGTTCTTGAAATTTAGTGATGGGTCAAACAAAGTTTACTTTAGTGGTCGGATAAAGTACCAAATGGGGGGGGCAAGTCGTGAAGTTGGGCCAGATAATGTTTACAATAGTGCACGATTGATTCAGAGTTTGAATGATTCGATTCCGGACTTGAATATTACATGGTCGTTTCCTGTGATAGAGGGTTATAAGTATCTTGTTCGATTACATTTCTGTGATATTGCTAGCATTTCACTTGGTCTGCTGTATTTTAATGTTTATGTGAATGGGAAATTGGTTGTTGAAAATTTGGATCTCACCTACCAAACGAACCAAATGCTGGCTTCTCCTTTCTATGCTGATTTTGTGGTTCATGGTGAAAGCTCTGGGATTTTATCAGTAAGTGTGGGACCTTCTAATGAGAGCATGTCACATAGTGTTGATGCTATTCTCAATGGGGTTGAGATCATGAAGATGAATAATTTGAAGGGCAGTCTTGATGGAGAGGTCTCAGCAGAGTCAATACTGAAGAGTCGGCCTAGAAGAAATATTGGGGTTTTAGTGCCTTTGATTGCTGGCATGTGTTTGGTGCTAGCTGCATCCGTGGTCATGCGAAGGAGAATGATTGGGGTTAAAGATTCTGTGGCATGGTCGCCATTACCTGTTGATCTCTCCAAAGTAAATTTGAAGAATGGGAATCAACTGTCATTAGGTAAAGTGTGATACTTCTGAAGTATTAATGGCTTCTTGTAAGATATAAGTTGAGCGTCATCAGAGGAAGGATGCGTTGTAGCCTTTTGTAGTATGTGTGATTGATGATCATGATTACTATGTATTTCAAGCCTCTAAAGAAGATTGGAAACTATATTTTTCACCTATCGTAAGTTTTACTGTTGGATTTTAGTTTGATCCACAAATACTGTCCTGCATCTTTCCCCTTCCCCGGTTGTTAATATACATTTCTATTAATGCTGAAGTACTAGAGTAGTTATGTGAGTTGAATATTTGCATTCATTTTAGAAATCAGGGCATCGGATTATCATTGCTTTTGTCTGTCTTGTTATAGTTTGATTGGGTATTACATGATTGAACCGAACATGCTATTATATAATTCTGCATATGGCTGACTAATAGAGCATGCTGATTTGATGGGTGAATTCCTCTCAGTTGAATCAATACATTCATTTAAGTATCGCAACTTTTGGCTCGTGAAGGCTTATTCCTGATAATCTAATTAGAAATCAATGTGGTTTTTTTTTGTTAGTTTGCTAAAAAGAGTGCGATGAAATTGGATTTTAGGAGGGAGTATGGTGTTGCAAACTAACATTACGAATTGATGCAGTATTGCAAAATTTGGATTTTGGATTGAGAAAGATTTAGGTTACAATTTATCAGGTTTTGTAATGGCTATACAATATTTTTCAATTTGCATTGCATTGTTTGAGAAGAAATTTTGCGTTCCCTCCAAATGTGGAGGCAAGAATGAAGTGCTATTCTGAAGATGGAATTGTTAAGCCTTATGTGTTTCCAGTGGTGTGAAGCCCAAGCGATAGGTTTGACAAATCTATAAGGGGGAGATAGAGAAACCACATTTAGATTGAATGAAACTCCAAGAGGGTCGCATAGAGCAATGATTGGGAATTAGTGGAAGCACAAGCGTTTTGGTCCAGCATGGGGAAGGGGGAAAGGGAAACAGAGGGGTGGGTGATGAGTAGAAAAGGAGCCAGACAGCGAGGCAACCCATCTTCCGTGCCCCGCCTTTTATTTTACACACAGGGGGAGGGGGAGGGGGAGGGGGGCGGGGTTGGGAATTCAAAAGAGAGAAACATCGATTGCGGCTCTTCATTATATGTGATAGTGACTTTATCTCGTGGAGTTATAAGATGGTTTGGGCGGTTAGGTATTTATATATATATAAGTTGTCCAGACTCGGTGATTCAATGTGTTAAAAAATTGAACCCAGATATATGTAGATATTTTTCCAAACTGAACCAAAGGTTAGGTTTTTTTCTCTGCTTCTCAATGTTTTGTTAGATTTTGTTACACTTGCTCTCTCTGTACCTAAATTATTGTTCATCCTTTTCAGATTTTCTCTCCCTATTTTTTTTCTTGTCATCCTTATCATAATTTCAAAACTACTCATTTTGAAATTGTGATTTTATCATCAGCTTTGATTTATTGCATGATAATGATATTGGTTGTTTTGTTTAATGTGTAAGTATGGTTTTGATGGCTATTACCTTTGATCCGTATTAGAGAATTAGCAATTCAACAGCCAATTATTTGAAATTTTAAAATTGTGATTTGTCGTCTTTGTTTTCTCGTCTGATACTATATTTGGTTGTTCAGTTTAATGTATGCGGTTTGATACTTTTCCGTTGATCAATAGTCCATTATTTATTCTTAGCAGAAAAATTCCTTATATGGAGAACATGGAACATAATGTCACAGAGTTGATAATTTCTAAAGGCAGATGACAGATGCGGTAATTTTGATAAATTGTATTGTGTTTTTAGAACCTCGTATTGGTTTTTAGAACTCTTTTAAATAATTAGACTGATGTGTGAGAAGCAAATAAATTCCAACCTCCTTATACACGACAAGGTCTTAAAATAAAGGGCAAATTTCACGAAACCCCTAATAATATCACTTTTTGTATCAAATACCCCCAACCTACTTAAAAAAATCTCAACACTATGAATATTGATCACATTGCACCATGTCTGTAATAAAAGGACGAAACTACCATTCAGATATACCAAATTAATTAAAAAAGCCAAAATAGGTATTTTACCAATTACTAAAATACCCTTAGTGACATTTAAGTGTCACCAAAGTACAAAACGACCGTGTTTTGTGTGTATATATATGTGTGTGTGTGTGTATATATATATATATATTTTGGCACTGAACAGTCGTTTTGATCAAACCTATCCCACGAAATTCTTTATTTGGTTGGTATATATGTATATGTATATGTATAATAATGAATCTAAAGGGGCGATCAGAGGGATGGGAAGAGGTTGACAAACACTTGCGATATGAGGGATTGGAAGGTTTGATCCATCGAATTCAATCCAGGCATGTATGTTTTACCCATTTCGCATATCTACGGGGATGAGATCACTACTATTGTGGAGTTCTCTAACTGTTACCTCCTATTTAATGTTGTTCAGGTCAATTTCGATGTGATTGTCACCTGGGTCATTGAATTTCGGGTTCCGGTCGGTGTCGAATTCGACGATGAGGAGGGGGCGACGGTGGGGACGGTGGCGTTGGAGAAGAGGCTGAAGTACTGGCCGGAGATGGCGCGAAGGGGGTGAGGTAGAGTTGGAGAGGACGAAGGCGAGGCCGAAGCAGGGACTGGAACTGACCTCCGGCAAGATAGAGAAGACGAAGGTGGTGGAGAAAGAAGAGATGATGGTGGAATTGGAAGTGAGTTTCATTGGGATTCAAGATCGGTGGAAAACTCGGCCGATTGAGAACTGGTTGGAGTCGTTCGTGAGTCTGATGGTGGAGGACTCGAGCCAAGCGTTGTCGGTGAGGTTGAGGTTGAGGTTGAGCTCAACGGTGGCATTGAAGGAATTGAAGAGGAAATTGAGGGCAAAAGATGAAGGGATGAGTGTTAGAAGGGGGAGGAGGAGCAGCAGAAGGTGAAACATTGGATAGAATTTGATGAGAGAGAGTTCATCTGGCGACTTATATCTGAGATATGGAATGTAGGAGTTGTGTGAGAGTCATACGCATTTTGAGTTTCTGATAATGTTTTTGATTTGGTAAATTTTCATATTCTTACCATTGTCTCGTATAAAGAATTGGAAAGAAAAGTCAACTTTTTTTTTTTTATGTTAAAAAAGAAAAGTCAACTTGAAACACATACATGATGCCTTTTATACATATAATATAGGGATAATTCTAAAAAAATGGTGTTATAGAGGTCAAAGGACAAATAGATGGAGTCAAATTCAAGTTTTCCTAATTAATGGAGTTTTCTTAAATGCTGACCTGGATATGGAATTTCACTATAGATCATTTTTTTATTCCCAAACCTAACCCAGACCCAAAAGCCTGTGCAGCTGGAACAGGAGCAAACCCTCGAGTCTCTCTCTTCTCTCATGTTTGCAACAAAATTAAGAGGCAAAACAAATCATGAAGGACTCTAAGTCATGGAGACCCTTCACTGCAAATTATTGTTCTGTGGAAGACATATAATTTTCGGTAATTTTAGTCGATGTCGGTCCTCCTGGTTGGATATTTCTAAGAACGTGGAGCCCTTATCGTCCTTTCGCCGTCTGTCATTCTCGGATTTAAGTCGTTCTTCATCGACTCGCATCAATGAGGACTTGCCACAGTCAGTTGGACCGGACTTGTATGATTTTCAGCTTAGTGAGTACGTGGTATAACTCAGAATTTTTCAAGCAATTTCTTGTTGGGGGAAGGTGGTTATGGTTTTTTTGTGTGTTAAGAGTTTCAATTAAAAACCCATTTTTGATTTTTGTGATGGAGGATGATAGCAATAATGGTGATAAAATAATGAGATTGATTGTGGATATGGACCCATTAAACTGAGACTTTGAAATCCATTCCATAAAACTCCCTTTCTCTCTCTAGATTGATTGGAAATGTTTGTTTTTGAAGAAATTCCTATTCGTAATCCCCTTGTCAGCTGTGGTGATAAAGGATGTCAAGGCACTGCTTCGTGGAGTTGATAGAGAGTTTTTCTCTTCAATGGGCTCCTAGGGGCCGTAATTGTGTTGCCCCATGAAAACTTGGTAAATGGGTTTTTAAGTGTACTCTAATGGAAGCTTCGTTCATCCCAAAGGACGAACCGTCAAACCACTCCATAGTCGACAGATTTGTGCCATTTCTTTCACCTAACGTTGGCACCACCATCTACCACCGTCGTCCTCCTCTGCCGCCCTTTCCTCATCCCTTACCTTCAAGCAACCCATGATCATTTCAGAAAGTAAATATTGTTGAAATGGCTTTGATTATGGAATTATTTGAGAGCTGGTTAGGTAGGTGTAACGGGTGGGCGCTTGCCCATTTACCCAAAAGCTCGAACTATTGGGTAGTGTTGCATACCCATCCATTTATACCCAATCACTTTCCCATCCGATTCCGATGTGGGACAAATGACCCTTGTTACATTCTCCCCCACCCAAACTCGTAACGCCTTCGTTGCGGTTCGGGCCACCCTGCCTACCTGAGATGCTTACCCGGACGCCTTCTGGGCCGGGCGCTTTGGTGTGACACAGGATCAAGGACTGGGTCTGGCTCTAAAACCAACTGTAACGGGTGGACGCTTGCGCATTTACCCTAAAGCTCGAACTATTGGGTAGTGTTGCATACCCATTCATTTATACCCAATCACTTTCCCATCCGATTCCGATGTGGGACAAATGACCCTTGTTACAGTAGGTCATTTCGCAACAATATAGATGGGTAGTTTAGGAATCAAAAGATAATCTACATTAAAAATTCATGTCCAGGTCAATATTTGAGAAAACCCCATTAATTTGGAAAACTAGAATTTGACTCTATCTATTTGTCCTTTGACCTCTATAACACTATTTTTTTAGAATTATCCCTATAATATATACACACAAAACGACAGCGTTTTGTGCTTTGGTGACTTAAATGTCACCAAGGATATTTTAGTAATTGGTAAAATACCTATTTTGGCTTTTTTAATTGATTTGGTATATCAGAAGGGTATTTTCGTCCTTTTATCACAGACATGGTACAATGTGATCAATTTTCATAGTGTTGGGAGTTTTCTAAAGTAGATTGGGGGTATTTGATACGAAAAATGATAGTATTGGGGGTTTCGTGAAATTTGCTCTAAAATAAACTATTGAAGTAACACTGAGGAGTATCAAGTTCTAAAATACTCCAAAATAGTGAACTACAACGGTAGAAAAATCTTGGATTCCCTGTACAAATTCTATACCATTCTCGATAACTCTAACTACG